CATTTTGGCGATCAACTGAATGTTCAATACACGCCATACAAAATTCGGTGATAAATGAAGATTACTTGGTATACGTCAAACACTAATTGAAGAGTGGTCTATGACAGCATATATTATATCTTCTTAATTTTGTATATATACTTCAGTAGGACGAATGGCCTTTCTTGGAGTGGGATTACCTTCTTCTCCAGGTCTACGAAATGATGCATTAAGCATTAAAGACTGTGTGGGCAGGTTGATGTCTAATTGGGTATCTTCGTCGATATTCTCAGGCTGCTTGTTTGGCGTTCCTATCTGACCTATATATAAAGACAATATACAGCGTGGTAAAAAAGTTCTGCATAAAATTCATATTTTCGTTAAACAATTTTTTTTGACCCGTCGATATTTTTATTAGATCCAGGGCACCTTGTTATGTGGAAAATTTTTTTTTCGATAATCCACTTACGGTAGCGATGACATATATAAATTTTTTAAATGACAACGCATATTTTTTTCGTTGGAAATTGATGACAGTGATAAGTATCTAAACAACGGTGTGAACATTTCGATGTCTTACATAACAATTTTTTTTTAGAAAAATGCACCTTAAGTTCTTATAAGTGATAATTGTCTACATACACTATTAATGGCTCCGAAAAGGACAAAGTTGACAAAATTACATTTCAAACGAGTAAAATTACACTAATGTTTGTGTAAGTCTAGCGAAATTGTTCGAATTGCCCACCCTGTACCATTTGGCATTGTCCTAAGCGTGTGTAAACGCCGTCTACACTTCGTTCAAGCATTCCCGGGTCGATTTGATTTATTTCAAAACGAATACGGTTTTTCTTCCAAATCACCTGGTCTGTTTGTGTACACACGCGATTTCAAATAGCCCCACAAAAAAAAGTCTAGAGGTGTTAAATCAGGCGAACGCGGAGGCCACTCGATTGTTCCGCGTCGCCCGATCCACCGGCCAGTAAACGTGTTATTCTAGTACTCTCGTACTTGCACTCCATAATGGGGCGGTGCACCATCCTGCTGAAACCAAATTCTTTCCTCAGGAATATCAGGATCCTCGTTGTTCGGGAATAACTCTGCTAAGCTTGGGACCAAATCGAACCGCAGGAAATCCAAATAGCGAGCAGCAGTTAAATTTTCCTCAAAAAAATACGGGCCTAAAATACGACGCCCTATTATTCCCGCCCGAACGTTCACCTTTCGGGGGTGCTGATGATCTACTTCTTGCACCCAGTGCGGGTTTTCCTGAGATCAATACCGGCAGTTATGTCGATGCACCGATCCATTAAGATAAAAAGTAGCCTCGTCAGAAAAAATTATGTTCTTGAGGAAGTCGGGGTCTCCGTTACATCAATGCATTAAATATTAAATCTTCACAAAAGTGGACACGGTGGTCTGGGTCGTCCTCAGTCAATGCATGTATCAAGTGACCCTTATAGGGGTGAAAGGACCCCGCACTAATCTTATGGATTTTGGACCCCAGTGAATTTCTCTGTAACTTTGGGAAAAGATAGGTTTCGACCTACTGATCAAATATCTCCATGGGCACAAAGCCCAAAAATCACTCCTATGGGCCCTACCGGGGGATTTTAGCCCAAAAAAGATGGGGCGCGAAGAGATGACACATCCCTCAAGAAACCAGTTCCGTCGCCGGGGAGAAGGCTGATAATGGATTTTTGGGGCTAAAATTGTCCTCTCTTTCATATTCTGGGATCAGTTCATGGCTGCTGACCTCCTAAATACACGAAAATGGAGTGCGAAAGGGGTAAAAACGTGAATAATAAGACATACTATAAAAACGAATGCGGACCTCGCATGTTGCGCCTGAAAGTTGACAATATTGTGGATTTGAGATTCCGAAACTCCCGTTGGTCTATATAATAATATGAAATCCACAATGTTGTCAACTTTCAGGCGAGGTGGATAACTTGCAACCAATGAAATATTTATGCTTGCAATATTTATTATAACTAAAAATAAAATGTCCCACATAATGAGATATTGAGATATCAAAAAAAAAAAATAATCCTTAATCGTATCGTGCTGATAATAATCATTACCTCGTTTGAAGATGCTAACATAACTTCCTCTTCGTCTAGTTTTGTATATCAGAAGAATTCTTACAAGTTTAACATTATTGTATAAAATATTCACCTTTTGTACAAAATATTAAATATGTTCAATATACTTATGTATATCTAAATCAGAATCACAACATAACTATACTTTATTGTCGAAATGCAAGGATAATATCCTAATGTAAGCTAATGTAATGCTGCGTCGTACAACTTTAATCAGATACACAATTTATGTGAGTTTTAAAATATATGTATTTTCTCATTTGGCTCTTTTACCATTTTTAAATCGACTATGGTCTTTATTTCATCCGCCCAGTACAAATAGGTACCTGTGCAATTAAAACTTTTTTTACACCTATATAAATGAAATAAATCTGTACAGTTCAGTTAGATATTTTAAATATTACAAGAAATAAGAAGGAAAGAAAGAACCAAACAAACATTCAACACTGATTTAGAATGATTAAAAATCGACGGAAATTATTTATTTCATTTGTTTTAAAAAATGTATAACCACTACCTACAATATTTATATTGAATCTTAAGTTATTCTATCTTATAGTTTTGTTAGAATTAGTAATTTTAACATAAAACAACTAGGAGATAGCATTGTTTGGAAGCATATCTGATGATTGATGAATCCGATTTTGTCAAGATAAATATCTTGATTTTATTTAAGTAAATAAAAAGAATGTTTATTTAAATATGTTAGAGAAACGAAATTTTTAAATTGAAACATGTCCATAGAAGCAATAATTGGTTTCAGAACGTGATTATAACGTCTACGTGTATTACATATAGCATAGCTCAACAGCAAGCCTAAATCAAATACTTAAGTGATTAGGGTCAAAATATGTAGCACATTATTAGCTTTGTTTGGGTTTCCATATAACCCAATTCCGAACCGTTCTTATCATGCGCAGTCTGAAATATACATACAACTTTTGTTTTGACCGGTTCAAAATAATTACGCAGATGTTTGTTTTGGTTTTATTCGAACCTGATTCAGAACCTTCTGAACCACCCCAAGTAGTTCTGGCTCCCAGGCACGAATTACTTAGATCTGTATTATTTCGCGCATGCATAGTTATTATTTCCGAAGATGGCCTTGATATAATATTTAAAGAAAATAGTTGCACGACATTTTAAAAACCTACCATTTAAATAGATAGGTAATTAATTATTAATTATATAGTAAACAAACGTAAATAGGTAACTATATGAGAAAAACGAAATATTTTTTTGTGTAACACGATGTTACCCTCCTTCGATTAGAAAAATCTTACATAAGAATGGGGGGAGGAGGTTCTGTAAAATTTACGGTCTCTTACGGGGCCAAATATTGAAATAAATGGTCTTACGTAATTTGTATATGTCCCTTAAGGCAAAGACGCCAAGAGCAAACAGATGAAAACTCTGATGAAAATGATTAGATTTTGAACTAATTTCGCTGCGAAGGTCACAAATTAATGCGTCTTTGTTTTCAAAAGAATCCAGATATAGTTTCTAATCGTTTCGAATTTTGTCTATTGCATTTATAGTTCTGCACAGATTCTAGGCTGTTCAGAAATAGAGAAACCGAACAAAGTTTTTGACACACTGTTTTTGACAATTTCAGTGACTTATCTTTATCCATAGACCACATAATTTATCCCAGAGACTGGGTGGCCACCCCTAAATGAATCATTATATAGAAAACAAATAAATGTATAAAGTTTTATTTATAATGATACAGTATTTGTTTAGATTTTACCTCATACTATACAGGCACACAAAAAGAAAGTCCAAATCTAAGATACCCACGTATTATTTCTGAAGGAATGCGATGTGCTGAACACGATACTGTAGTCAAAATTGACGACTTGTCGATGAATTTCGGAGAAAAGTGAAATTTCAGGGTGAACACGCCCAAATGTGGGTCAGAAATGATTTTTTTCCTAAATTTTGTCCAAATACTTCATTTTCATAGTAATTTTGAGGCGCCCTTGGCATCGATATTTCTCAGAAAATCCACTACTTGGATGAAAACTGGTCCAAATATGGGTCAAAACTGATTTTTTCCTAAATTTTGTCCAAATATTTAATTTCCATAGTTTTTTGAGGCGCTGAATACCATGCGATTAGTAAAATGTACATGACCTCGATATTTCTCAAAAAATCCACTATTTGGGTGAAAACTGGGTCAAAACTAATTTTTTCCTAAATTTTGTCCAAATTTTCGTAGTATTTTGTGGCGTTGAACATGAGTCATTATGATTACCTCGATATTTCTCAGAAAATTTACTATTTGGTTGAATACTGGCCCAAATATGGGTCAAAACAAATTTTTCTTAAAAGTTATCCAAATTTTTGTAGTATTTTGAGACGTTGAATACGATGCCATTAGTAAAATATACCCATGACCTCGATATTTCTCAGAAAATCCATTATTTGGGTGAAAATTGTCCAAAATACTACCAAAAAGATTTGGACAAAGTTTAGGAAAAATTCAGTTTTTACCCGTCTTTGGGCGATTTCGTAAAAAATTTCACTTTTCTCCAAAATTCATCGGATAAACTTTGACTACAGGAGCGTTCAGCGCATCGAATTCTTTCGGAAATGATATGTGGATCTCTTGGGTTTGGACTTTTTTTTGTGTGCCTGTCAAAAAAAAATAAGTAAATGTGAGTATGGAGTGGCGCTAGAATTGTTGAAATTTTGTTGCCTACGTTAGATGGGTTTTTGGCTAGTCTAAGTTTAACTATATTAAGATAGCATTCCTATAAATTGGTATATAAACATGAGTTTGTAAATATTCGGAGGTATCATATCACTGTTTTTTCTTTAGAAAAATTATTTTTTAATATGAAGAGATATGTTTCGACAAAAACGTGTTTAAAGTGAATTTTCCTCTACTAATTATATTATTTACTTCTTTAGGGCGACTACATTTGGGCCGAACCTGTGAAAAGGGGAGAATTTGATATCCCGGTTGGAGGGAAAATCGTAGGCATTGAATCAAGTAGGGTAAAAATCGTCGATGATGATGGCATTGAACTGTACATTTCTAACCAACAAGTACTCAAAACTATGCATGTATCGTCTATTAATGGCGTGGAGGACATGATAAACTTAGGTGATCTTCAGGAGTATGCCATATTAAGGAATTTACATAAAAGATATAGAGAAAAGAAGATATATGTATGTATTCTATTTAATCGTTTTTACAAATTATTATCTGTAAAGTTAGGAAAAATAAGGTTAACTTAACATAATTTTTTAGGTAAGTGTGGAATATTTATAATTTTTATTGGAAAATTTATTCAGGGTGGGATAGGACAGTATTATATAAAATAAGTAACAGTGTTAGTGCCATTAAAGTATAAAAAGCCGTTGAACATAATATGTACATAAAAAACGTAGAAAAATATTCTGTGCTTACTAAAAATGCGTTAGTTAAAAAATTTTTGCAATGATAGCATGACTGATCATTTTTAATATTCAATTCATCTATGATTTCTTGTCAAATAAATTAGCTATCAAAATTGTTTCCAAGTGTACTGCCTGAGTATGCAACAAAATCAATTAAATTAGTTTTTAGGTGGGCCAAAAAAAAATTCCAAACAGGATAATTTTTTCAGTTGCTTGGGGACTGCCTCTTGAGTTTCCAACCAAAAGATGAGACTCGAACACATGGTACGATTTGCGCTATGGGGTGGTTTCCTAAACATTTTTTTAGAGCAAAATGACCTTTCGTTCCTAATTATCCGATCGGATCGATCGACCTCTCGTTTTATTCATATTTCGATTCTCTACAGTCTCTGTATAGCATTCAGATTGCTTCGTTAGTTTAGGTTTTATAAGCAAAAAATGCGTTTGTTGCATAAAAATGTTTATAAACAATTAATTAATGGTAAATTGGAGTAGGAAACATATAAGCATATCTGTCTTTTATATGATGGCACAGTCCGTTTGCTACTAGTATTTTTGTCACAAAATCACTGATTTAATGCCCTATTGATTGGCCTACGTAAGCTAGTTAGTTCAACTGTTGTATTTTTCACTACAATGTGTGAAGAATAGTACGATTTGCTTTCGAACCTTATTTATTACGAACCAGAAAGTAAGGAACGATTGGCGTAGAAATATTCTTCATCTCATATTTCATTATGGTATCAAAAGTGAGATCTGTATCTCCATTGAGGAGAAACACGTGCAATTGTATCTATATTTGACTTGACTTACATGCTGCTGCACAAGTTGAAATCTTAGTACAAGCAAAATGCCCGGAACTTAACTAGAAAATAGTATTGCTGTCTCACGCTAATGTGTGCTCCCATACTGTTACTTTTACAGTAGATACTTCAAGTTTTAGATTCTCTCTGAAAATGTGTTGTAATATCTCTCCATTTTCTCCGAACATGACGTAACCATACTTTCGATTGTTTGGAACTTTGAAAGAACATTTGCAGGATTAGAAGATTACAGATCATGATGACGTAATTGATGCTGTGCAAAATTAGTTAAAGGCTACTCCAAAAATTTGTCTGTAAAGAGTATTCATAAATTTTTATAAGCATTCTTATGTTATTAAATAATTCCTATTAACAGTATTAATATTTTCATATTATTTATATTATGTTTTAGACTTATACTGGATCTATGTTAATAGCAATAAATCCTTATGAAGTACTGCCTATTTATACAAATGCGTTGATCAAAGAGTACCAAAACAAGAAATTTGAAGAATTACCGCCACACATATTTGCTATTGGTGATAATGGTTACAATAATATGAAAACTACAAAGAGGAATCAGTGCATTGTAATTAGGTAAGCTCTTGATAGTAATTTTTTAAAGTGAAATAATTTTAAAATACAGATTGAAGACGTCCATGAAATAATATAGAATCAACATTTTTTTGAAGTATTTATTTTGATTAAATAACATCGAATATATGAAGATAAATGGAACAGTTTCTGAACTGATTGCCACCTTGTCGGCTTAAATTTCTTGATGTTTCGAGAGATATACCGCTTTCATTTTCAGAAGAAACTTTGAAACTGAAGATTAAACCTTTTGACCGCTATTTAAATGGATATTGCAAAGTGTACTGGTCTACGTCGTTTCAGTGCATGGTTTGAAGTTTCTAACCTATGACGTTCCGGTTTTTAAAAACAGATGTGTCGTTTTCAAATTATAGATAGTTATAAGCCTTTGCCTCGATTGAAATTATTTTGAATATTCTTGATTTGCATTGCTTGTGTAAAGTATTGACCAAAATATTATTTTCCCCTCACCCCAGAGTTTATAGCTTTCCAAAGATTCATAAACCAAACAATCGATCAGCAGTAAAAGTGCAAACGGATCAGCCACTCACCTAGTCGCCGAGTGTGTGTCAAACAAAATTAAAAATCTAGTAGGAAAGACACAACTCGCATGTCAAATACAAATACCACATTCTAGTTAATTTTGACGTTACGTTATTATTTCCGAAATTAAAATCAGTGCTGAAAATGCACCGTTTTCAGACTGTTGATGACATCAAAGCATATACCAATAATGTATAAAATTAAAGTTTAAAAAATTATGTTCGGTTATTTTCTGAACAGACCTGGTATACGATCTTATACATTAGTAGAATAGTGTTGTATGAGTAAGATGAAGGAAAAGAAAAGATAATTTTAAAACAATAGTGTTAGAAAAGTTGTAAAAAATTATGCTAAGCAAAGGGAAAAGATTTACAACAAAAATATTTACAAATTACAAACAACGCAAATCTTACGTGATTAATTAAAAAATTTTTATTCATTAGATAGACGTAACGATTTTTTTTGGCGACTACGTTTGTCATTTCGTCACATGTAGTAGCGTATAACATACCGGGTAGAGGTACTTGGTCCGTCAGGGTGAAATAAATTTACAGCAATTATTACTTTATTTGTAGTTCACTCATGTTGAATATGAGAAAGACATTCTTTAGAAGCATTTTAGACTTGCTTAATATACCAGGAGTATCTAAAATTACAAAATCAAACGATTTGGCCACTAATTAAACGTCCGATATGAAAATAAAGGACTATACTCGGCGGCCGAAATTATAAAGAGTGACTAATACATAATATAAAAACACTATTACCATAATGCGTATAAAATATAAAATGATTTCTATACGGTTCAATGTTATTTATCTTTGTGCCTCTCGCCGTGCACATCGGTAGAATCTATAATCGTGTATAGACTGAGTTACACTGAACGTCGATCTATATTTTATCTCTGTCTTTTGCACTTGGTAGGGAATAGGGAAATGCTTTTTTAGTGGGTGTAAACGGACTTGATTTGCCCGACCTGAGAAACGTCATAGCATAAGCGTAGACGAGGGGTCTAATTCCATGGCTATAATAAATTTATAAATTAAAAAAACACAACTGGGACGTTTTAAAAGGCTGTAATAATTAAAATTGATCAAAGTGCCGGTTATAGCAAACCGTAAAAAATATTAGATGTTATGTTTTATTATGTTTTTTAAATATTTTATATATCTTGTTGCCTTTTACGCAGACACGCCAATGGATTTTCGTTCCCGGCACACTTTTTCCCCTTACTAGTTCAAGAGCTAGCGATGAATCACTATCTATAATTTTGGCCGTCGAGTATAGGTACATGTGAATGAGGTTACAACTAAGCTAACAATACTAGATCTGTGATTAAACAAATATACATGAAAAGCTGTGCAAAAGCAAGACTAATATATTTAAAAATACAATTAAACACACTTAAATTATTTCACACAATTTTACAAATCCCTGTTAGAGAAAAAATTCTGTCTAATTGATGTTTTGAGATTCTCTTTGAGGAGGTTGCACGAATGGCCACGGAGTCTTTCATCCCTATTATGTGGAAGATTTAGTGCTACACATCGGCCCTGATAAGACCACTTCTTAATTTTATACTCTTGAATTTTCCAATAAGTACTATTAATAATAAATCATATTTTTTAAATGAAGCTTAAATTAATGTCTGCAAAGCGGAAAGTTTAACTGGAACAAATTCTGTAACTTCATAAATAAAGGTTTGTCGCAAAATTCCTGCAACACGTCAATTTTTGTTTTCAATGTCAATATTCAATATTACAAGAGGTTTATTTATTTTTTTAATTATGTGGGGATTGCAGCAACCCCCAACTTTTTTTAAATGGAAGGGTAGGTTGATATTTTTTTATTTTAAAGCTTTTTCAATTCAATAGCAGATTTTTTATTACTTTTTATAAGCAATGTGTCGGAAAAATAAAATAAGGAAATGTTTACTGAAACATTTTTAATGTAGGTATACATTTTTTTCTTACTTCATATAACACAATAACAATTCCATACCTTATCACCTGCTCGATAGTTTTATTTGGCCAATTTGAATTTAATGTGATTGATTTGTTAGTACTTGCTTGTTTGCTTTACAACGTGTAAATTAAAAACTAAAAATAAGAAAATACCCTATTTAACCGAGACGCATCGTATCGAACTTTTAATGATGATCGGATATGGGGAGAGCAGCCGCTCGTTTGTTTGCTGAAGTTCATTCAGAAATGTCTCCAATTAATCGAAGTACGATTAGCAAAATCGAAACTCGATATCGGGAGTTGGGCCACGTGTGGGATGCTCCTCGACAAAGGCCGTTAAAATCGAGGAAGAAACACGGTTGAACATGTTGGAAGTTGAAGGAAATCCTGTTACTCCAGTTAGGCAAATAGCTCGCGTTCAGGGTCACACAAGCGTTTTAAAAATTCTGAAAGAAGCCAAAAATCACCCATAAAAGATGTAAAACCTGCACAAGCTTAACGAAAATGATCCTGATCGTAGACTAGACTTTTGCGAACGAATTATGGTTTCTATCGATGGTGGGCAAATTGGAATGGGTGCTATTTTCTGATGAAGTTATGTTCATATTACATGGGCATGTCAATCAGCACAACTGCCGTTATTGGGTTGACGAAAATCGTCACTGGATGCGTAAATGCCATACTCAAAGGCTTCAAAAAACAAACGTCTGGGCTGGAATTATAACTTTTCTTATACATTGTGTTATGTCCTATAAAAATAAACCATTTTTGAACTTTGAATTTTGAATTTTGAACTTTGAACTTTGAATTTTGAATTTGAATTTTGAATTTTGAATTTTGAATTTTGAATTTTGAATTTTGAATTTTGAATTTTATCGGGGATCGCATAGTAGGTCCTGTATTTTTCAATGAAAATGTAACCGGACAAACATAGCTAACTATGCTCCAAGATGAACTAGTTCCTGCTTTAGCTGTTTTTGGAATAATTTGGATCCGGATTTATTTGACTAACGGATATGGTTTTAACAAGATGGGGCATCACCACATTTTGCTCAAAATGTACGGACCTATCTCAACGAAGTATTTCCGAATAGGTGGATTGGAATAAGGGACCCAATTGAGTAGCCAGCAAGATGACCCGATCTTGCCCCATTAGATTTTTTTATGGGAATATCTAAAAAGTAAGGTTTATGTTACTAATAAACTAACGACATCGTCGAGTTTCAACAAAGAATCAGGAATGAAATTAGGCAAGTAACGCCGAAAGTGTTACAAAATGTGTTTTTATTATCGATTAGGGTATTGTCAGCAAGGTGGAGGGCACTCTAAAAATTTTTTGCATTAAAGTAGTTTCAGTAAACATATCCTTATTTTACTTTTTCCGATACATTGTTTACAAAAAGTAACAAAAAATACGTAATTGAATTTTCAGTTGAAAAAACTTTAAAATAAAAAAATAATCAACCTACCCTTCCATTTAAAGAAAAAGTTGGGGGTTGCTGCACTCCCCACATAATTAAAAAATAAACAAACCTCATTAATATACCCCACTGTAAATCAAAAATGACCTGTTTCAGGAATTTTGCATACAAACTTTTATTTATTAAGTTACAGAATTTGTTCCAGTTAAACTTTCCACTCTGTATAAGAATTGAAACTATTTATGAGCAGTTAAAACATTGGTAATATTTTTTATTTATCTTTATAATTTTACTGAACATTTCATATTAAAAATAACCAACAATGCGTTTAAATTATTTGAATGCAACAAATTCAAATTGTATACATTTTACTGATATTTGTTTTTTTCAGTGGAGAAAGTGGGGCAGGAAAAACGGAAAGTACTAAATTAATTCTTCAGTACCTAGCATCAACCAGTGGACAACATTCTTGGATAGAACAACAAATAATCGAAGCTAATCCCATCTTAGAAGCTTTTGGAAATGCTAAAACTATAAAAAATGATAATTCGTCTCGTTTTGGAAAATATATCGACGTACATTTCAGTAAAACGGGAAATATTGAGGGAGCAAAAATTGAACAATATCTGTTGGAGAAAAGTCGCATAGTATCCCAAAGCGATGGTGAAAGAAATTATCACATTTTCTACAGTTTACTGACCGGACTATCCAAAGACGAGAAAAAAAAATTGGATCTTGTTGATGCTGGCTCCTATGCTTATCTCAGTGGGGGACGAACTTTAACTTGCCAAGGCAGAGATGAAAAGAAAGAATTTACAGATATTATGGCTGCCTTTAAGGTACTAAATTTTTCCGACAAGGAAATATCTGACATTTTCTCGTTACTTGCAGCAATTTTACACCTTGGAAACATGAAGTTTAAAAGTGGAGCTGCTAATCATACAGAAACATCCGAAATAGTGGACATTGCGCTAAACGAAAAAATTTCGAAATTGTTAGGTGTAAATAAATTCGATTTAAGTGAAGCACTCACCAAAAAGACTATTTTTGCACACGGTGATCAAGTGGTATCTCATTTATCAAAAGACCAAGCATCTGAGTCAAGAAACGCTTTCGTAAAAGGAATATATGGTCAACTATTCATTATGATTGTAGAAAAAATTAATTCCGTTATATCACACAGTAGAATGTCAAAAAATAGAAGTATTGGAGTTTTGGATATATTTGGCTTTGAAAAGTTTGACATAAACAGTTTTGAGCAACTGTGTATTAATTACGCAAATGAAAACTTGCAACAGTTTTTTGTCAACCACATTTTTAAAATAGAGCAGGATTATTATGCTAACGAGGGGATCAGTTGGGCAAACATATCATTCGTGGATAATCAAGATGTTTTGGATTTGTTGGGAGTGAAGTCATTAAATATATTTTCTTTGATAGATGAAGAATCAAAGTTTCCAAAAGGAACAGATTTTTCTTTGTTATCTAAATTGCATAATCAACACAATAAGAAATCTTTATATCTCAAACCAAAATCTGATATGACTCCCTCATTTGGTATTCAGCACTTTGCTGGTGAAGTTTTCTATGATATACCTGGTAAGTAATAAATTACATAACTAGATCAGTTTTGAAAAATTGTGTATTTAGAACAGTTAAAGTGCTGCATTTGTTCCAGTTAAATTCTGTTGTAAGAATATTTCAAAAAATGACGCGTAAATCATAAAAAATAGCGTATTAAAAAATAATAGGAATTTTTCCCATGAACTGTGATATATCGTCTTTTGTTTTCAAGACACATGGCGTTGTATTTATTTTTTTAGAGTTCTTCCAAATCTCCAAAAATAATCAGCATAATTTATATTGTACTAGGCTTTTTGTTATGAATGTCCTGGAATATTTTAGATTACTATTTTGAGGATATTATGTCGGATCCTTTATACTATTTGTATAGTAGCGGAGATTCAGGGGAGCTTTGTCATTAAAACCCTCAGAAAAATTAGTAGGCGCTTTTAATTTACTGTTTACTATATTTTTAATAAAAATGGTCTCTTGCATTCTCTTCACACACTAAACCAGATAATTGAAAAAAATGTGATATTCTTCAAAAACTTTAGCGCCCTCTGTCTTGGAAACCAGGTTTATTTTGGCTTTTGGGCCTAAAATGGTCCAATGCATGATACTTAGGATACACCTTATATTTTATTTATCTTTTATAAGATAAAATAAAATTGATCCGTTTATTATCCAGCACTATAAAGGGTGTCTCATAATTAGCTGCCAACCCTGAACAGGCCGATTCTATGATCAAAACTAAGTAAAAAAGTTCATATGAACATGGGTCCGGAAATGCTTCCTAAGGGCACAGGGACCCATTGAAGAGGGAGGAATGGAAATCATTTTTTTGCAATATCTCTCAATCGCGTTGTGATAAATGAATGAAATTTGGTATACACGGCTAAATTTTGATGAGCAATTTGATGGACTAATCCATTTATTTCCACAAGGTCCATTGGGGTGGGTACGGGAGGGCCCTTGGTACTTTGCGTGTGTAACTTTTTCATCTTTGACTTTTTAACAAATTGGACAGCAAATTCCGTTTTCCCGAACTGTTTTACGTTAAAAAGGTACTCTTGTTTCAAATCGTTATCTTTAACGGTTTCTGAGAAAATCGCTCTTGAATTAATCCCACTTTGGTCAATTTCATAGTAATTTAAACAAATAATAATAATAATAATAATAATTTAATACGTAATCAGTAATACACATTATTGATGTAGAACAATTATGATATGATGATTTGTTTATGGCTTTTGCGATGGTAATGCTGCGCGGCAGAACGCGAGTACGGGAGAAGGTTTTCCAAACCGAAGGCTGCCATCAAGGAGGACATTCCCTACGGTATTCCGCAACTTAGGTGCTTAGGTGCGTCATCTGACCAACATGGAGAAAAGATCTTGTATGACAAATTTAGCTTGCTTATTGCATATTTATGTGAATCTCTTGATAGACAAGATCAAGTGGATGTTATTTACTTTGATTTCCAAAAGGTATTTTGATTAGATTGATCATTACGTTTTACTTTCAAAAGTTATTTGAGTCAATTTATCTGACAGGAAATAATTTATCGAGTATGATGGCTTTCAATCTTATTCAATAACGTAAATATAGGAGTTCTGCAGGGTCCAACTTAACACCTCTGTTATTTTTAATTTTTGTTAATGATTAGCCAATACAATTAAATGACCCAAATTTTCTTTTGCCGATGATCTTAAATTTCACAGTAAAATAAATAGTATTCATGACTGTTATCATTTACCTACAGTCAATTTATCGATCTCGTTTTCCAGTGGTGTAAAAAATGTAGTCTTTTATACTAGGGAAAAACCAAGTGCCTTGAATCTACCCTTATAAATAGATGTGGTGGTGTGAAGGATTTGGGAGTCTACTTCGACAGTGGCCTTAATTTTAGACAACACATTAACAATATTGTGGTTTCTGAGAAATACCGGATCATTTAGCATTTATGCTCTTAAAATTATTTTTTATTCTCTGGTTAGGATAGTCTTTACAAAATTAAATTTGTGTTTTTAAGAGATATTTCTGATTTTCACTGATTTCTAGTGATTAAAATAATGTTAATTTTCATTTCAGGATTCTTGGAGAAAAATAGGGATTCTTTTAGTCAAGATTTGAAAAATTTAGTAGCAAACGCTAAAAATGATACGTTGGCTACGGTTTTTAAAAATGAAGTTAACCAGGACACAAAATCTAAAAAAACGTTTACTCTTTCCTCACAGTTCCGGACATCTCTGGATTTGTTAATGAAAACTTTGGGAGCGTGTCATCCGTTTTTTGTAAGGTGTATCAAGCCAAATGAAGATAAGAAACCACAGGTAAATTGTTCGAAATTAGTCACTAGGTACACTTATAATTTCATCTCTTGATTTAATACTTTTATTTTTTTAAGACTATAATATTAATTCAGGTTAGATTTTTTTTAATGCATTCTATTTAGTGGATACTTAATTTCATGTATTCAATCCAATTAATAATAGTGCATATTATAAAACTTTGCAGGTGTTTGACAGAAACTTATGTACGAGGCAATTGAGGTATTCTGGTATGATGGAAACTGCTAAGATACGTCAAGCAGGTTACCCTATTCGATATACATATAAGGACTTTGTTGACAGATTCAGATTTTTGGGGAAACGCATACAACCGTCCAGTAAAGGTGACTGCAAAGCCTCGACGGCTAAAATATGCACAGAAATATTTACAAATGAACAAAATTATCAACTTGGTCACACAAAAATATTTTTGAAGCATCAAGACAACGAACTTTTAGAAGAATTAAGAAGCAAAATTTTGGACAAGTATATCAAGACTATTCAGAAGGCGATAAAAGGATGGATTTACAGGCGGCGTTATTTGAAACTACGTCAAGCTGCAATAACCATTCAGAAGTATTTCAGAGCCCGAGGCTACCGTTCCAGATATTTGATTATAAAGAATGGATATCAAAGACTTCAAGCCGCTATTATGTCGAGGCAGTTAACTTTCTTCTACACTAAAATACGTAAGAACATTGTTAATGTTCAAGCATTGTGTAGAGGTTATTTAGTGAGACACAAAAACCAATTTGGGCTTATATATTCAATTATCAAGCAGAGGAAATTTGACGAGGAAGAGCTTAGGAAGAAAGGAAACAAAAACTATAAAGTAGATGCCGAGAGAATGATGCAACAACGTCTTACAGAATGTAATCGGGAATATGTAGCTAAATTGAATGCCATCGAAGAAGAAAACAAGAGGGCTGAAAAAGTGATTGATGAAGTCTTCGATTTTTTACCTCCAAATACACCTTCACCTTTAGAAAATAAAGTAGTACGTATTTTTCCACATAAACATACTTTGTCAAGATAGGAATAACTTTGGCAGTCTTTATAAACAAGAATAACATACACTACACAGTTGCAGTGAAAATGTTAATCGTAAAATCTTTAATTTCCACCAAAAGTTCGTTACCTTAGATATTTTTTATTTCGGTCATTTCTTTGAAAAAAAGGCAAATTTGACATTTTTCTAAATTATTTAAGGATACTTTGAAACAAGCAGTAAAAATTGTGTTGATAAAATATGAAGCAGGTATTAACGTATTCTGTTAGAACACTTTCTTAAACTAAAAAACAGATGAGGTGACTAAGATCAAATTGCGCTACTTAATTCATATTCAAAAAGTATTTTGGAAATCATTTACCACCGTTAATATTAAAGTTAGCGTCCTGATTTTTTCCCCATATATTTAGGGGGTTAAGTGCTTCTGGAAAATGTAAAAACAAGTTATAAATGAAATATTACTAAATGAAATCATTGTGACAGTTTTACTGACAATGAGTGTAATTTATATTGTTTATTTGAATAGCATTGAATGATTCATGGAATCGACGATCGATTCGAGTCTGTATTTAGCCTTACACCTTACAATGTTATCAGTTTGAAGAGTTTATCTTTAACAGCAATGTATGCGGTCAAAAGATTGATCGGCTGATCACCAATCTCAACTTTTCACAATATTACTTGATGGTGAGCAAGCGTAAATTGTCCAGATTATTTATCTTCTAAATGATTTTTGACTTTATTTTTATAAAATACTCACTAAAAACTATAGTGTGCATATGAGCGACTCATAAATGACTCTCACACCGAAGCAGCACGATATCGTTTTGAACTTGGCGATATAAAGAACACAATCTTTCAGTTGAGCAATAAGTTTTAGTACAAACAGTGGCACCATTATTTATTAGTCCTCTGAATACAGGAGGGACGTAACTCATCAAAGTCATCAGATGATGACATCATAGATTATAGGATTACCCTCCTAAAACGGACTCCTCTGTTAACGGTATTAAAAAATTAAATCCTCTACACTCGGAAATTTTTTATTATACAGACCATAGCACTTGCTATGGGCGATTTTCAAATGGAACACTCCACTTTTGAATTCCCTATAGAATATAAAGACCACTTTGTAGAATTTTCAAGAAAGCTGAAACATAGATACGGTTTGACTTATTTTTAGTTATTTTATATGTGTATATGTTTATCTAAAAATTTTGTAAATATTATCTTCGCAATTTCTATGTTTTATGTCATGAACAATTTGATTTTTTCTAATTAAATTCTACGTTCTTATCAAAGAGTAAACACTCAATTTCCTTTCGATTTTATTGATGTATATTAGGATCTCTTTCCAACAATAGTTTCCGAGTAGTTAGCAATTTTCTAAACCTTTGATTACACAGCCACACAAAAAAAAATGTTTTTCGAGTCTGGAGGTCAGACTATGTCTACCACATGTTTTCGGGGTCGCTGAATCCGAATCCGTGATCCATTTAACCCTTTCCCGTCAGGTTTTACCAATAACCCCATATAATCTCATAACCTAAGCTGTCAAGTCCTATTACACACAACGATTTTGTAAAGGGAGCTGTGCACCCACAATAACCCTATAATCCTATACATTCAACCTCAAAACTCCTAACCCCATAACTGTATAATCCCATAACCCCAAAACCGATAACTCCAATAACCACGTTACTCATCGTGGATATTTCAAGGCTCTATAAATAGAATAATCCTATAACTTCAATAACCACGTTACGCAGTAGTTCGATTGTTTGATGCAAGGAACATAGTCTATAGGTACAGTTATTGATTCCCAGTTTCATCATCTGCACCTGCAGTAGTCAGTCTCCGTCAATTTAAAAAATATCGTGCCAAATGAAGTTTTATTTCGCGTATGCTAACCCAAGTCCCTGGAGTCCCTGGACCATGGCTTTCGTACCGTCACAGGTGGAAGACGTACGAGACAGGGCTTCGGATGTCCAGAATCGGCGCCTGGTCAGGGTGCGTTTTAGTTAGTATTAAAACACAAAAACATTTTATTATAATAAAAGTAACTACGACAGTCAGGGATCGTTTTATTTTAAGTGGTGAAATCTGTTACTTCGGTGTGAGAACTGATTCAAAGATTATATTATTAGTAACTATACTAATAATAAATACTCAATAAAAGTACAAGTATCTGTTTAACGCATTACGCTTACTGCACATTATTTGAAGCATATCTTCCATATTATTAGATATATATCTTGAAAATTCATATCACTATAATGTAAAGAAACTATTCTAACAGAATATGTTAAAATATTCAGTGTTAAACTAAAAAAATCTGAGTTTCAGCTACAGTTTTTAACACAATATTCTACTTTGTTTTGAAGATGTACAGAAAAGTGTCTACAACTTTTGTCTTATTGGAGTAATGGAATTACATAAATAATTCTCTAACCAAAATATAATAGATGAGCCTGTAATATTCTACCTTCCCCTTCATCTATTTTACTGTGAAAAAAGTATATCGTAAATGTTCAAGGAAATATTTTTGTGGTTAAAAAATATAATTTTTGTTTGTTTTCCGAAATATTCAATTGTTTTTCTTGGTATTAATTTCAAATCGTAAGAAAATTTCATTTAACTTTGACCTGTATTATATTTTGTAAATATTAACGTAAGGTAGATAAAAGTTATAGATTATCTCTTAATGTTCTCTGTATGAACTGGCTACTAGAATGTTTTCCACTGTACCACTCGGGATTATCAAAGTTATTCTTACATATCGGTCTGTATGTAAGTAAATTAAATGTGTGAATTAAAATGCATTTTAGAACCTAATGAACAGAGAAAATAGTATTATAATGCGAACTGGATCTATAAATTCTGACGACAGTGACATGCAAGAATACAGCTTCCGAAAGTACGCCGCTACATACTTCGCTAAAAGTGCCAATTATCAATATTCTAAAAAGCCTTTAAAGGACTCTCTACATTATCTACCTACTCCCGATGATGTCATTGCAGCACAGGCACTGTGGTTAACAATATTGAGATTTATGGGTGATTACCCAGAACCTAAATTTGACAACCCTGTAAAAGACAACGAGTCCATTATGACAAAAGTTTCGCTAACTTTAACTAGGAGTTTCACTAATAGAAAGGAATATCAAGTAAGTATTTATATCATTTTGAACACTATCAGCAAATATATAAGTTGATAGTAAATCTTGGAGCACACATATTCCAGAAAATAATAACATTTGTAATAGGATTTTTAGGATTTTTTTCTTATATGTCGTTTATTTCAATTTTTAAAAATTCATCAATTTTCTCAATAACAAAACAAACAATTTTCATTCTGCTTCATTTAGCTTTAGTTTTTCGAAATTGCAGTTTACACTAGCACAGTAAGTAGATTTGTGAAAAAATTAAATCATACCAGTTATCTCTTTTATTATTTGACTATATTACTTGAAGAAAATTAAAAGAATTGGAATTAGTAAAAAAGAAGAAAATACAAAAATATATTGTTTTAATTACAAACTAATTTTATTTTTGACTATAATCCAAAAATAGAGACGCATATGCAAAATTAATTTTGATCATTTTGTTTTCGACACCAACTTATTCCTCTGTCCTTAGCAGTTGTATTGTAAGTATATTGAAAAGATATGACGCAATTAACAATCGTGTTATTTGTATTTTACTTTGAAAAATGTAAGCAGTAAATACATATTTTATTTTTAGGAGATTATAATGCACGAAAAGAGATCATTGAAAAAATCTGAAAGGCAAAAGATGATAAGTATGACGTTGAAACGAAAAAATAAACTATTAGAGGATGTGAGAAAAGGTTTGGTGGAAGACACTTATGCAGCAGATAGTTATAACGACTGGTTACATAATCGCAGGACCAATAATCTGGAAAAATTACATTTTATTATAGGTCATGGTATATTGCGTCCAGAATTAAGGTACCCAATAAATGAATTCTAATTAGATAAAAACTTATAACCAAATTATATATTCTGTTTGCAGAGATGAAATATTTGCAATGTTGTGTAAACAGTTAACCAATAATTACACAAAATCTTCCTACGCGCGTGGATGGATTTTAATGTCATTGTGCGTTGGTTGCTTCCCACCTTCCGAAAGGTTCATTAACTACTTGAGAGCCTTTATTCGATCTGGCCCTCCAGGCTATGCGCCATATTGCGAAGGAAGACTGAATCGTACTTTCCAAAATGGGGCACGTACGCAACCTCCTAGCTGGTTGGAGTTAATGGCGACAAAAAATAAGGATCCGATAAACCTCGAAATTACTTTAATGGATGGCACAATTCAGACAGTGGAGGTGGATTCTGCTACTACTTCTGAGGAAATTGTTATTCAGATAGCATCTACTTTAAGTCTTAAAGATGTGTTTGGATTCTCACTGTTTATAACACTTTATGACAAAGTAATGTCTCTGGGAAGCGAAAATGATCATGTAATGGACGCTATTTCACAATGCGAGCAATATGCTAAAGAACAGGGCCAGCATGAACGAAACTGTCCTTGGAGATTATTTTTACGCAAGGAAATGTTTACGCCTTGGCACGATCCCGCTGAAGATTCAGTGGCTACTAATCTCATTTACCACCAAATTATAAGAGGCATTAAGGCTGGAGAATATCGTTTTAATGTCGAAGCTGATATAACATCATTAATTGCTACACAATATTACATAGAAAATGGTCCACAAATAAACAAAAATGTTCTTCATACAAGAATTGGAGAGTATATGCCCACCTATTTAGTAAAACAGCTACAAAACAATTTAGATGAATGGGAAAGTAATATTATAAACGCTTTCTCCAATCTTTTATGTGTTAAACAACGAATGTCAGAAACAAAAGCCAAAGAATTCATTGTAAAATATGCTAAATCGACTTGGCCCATACTTTTCTCCAAATTCTATGAAGTTATTCAAATTTCTGGGCCTGAACTTCCCAAAAAGACAATGATTATAGCTATAAATGGATCTGGAATATTTATGATAGATGACCAAGAGCAAATTCTCTTAGAATTGACATATGCAGATGTATCTTTTGCAACATATGAACGTACGACACAATCTACAAAGTTCATTTTAAATACGGTTAGAAAAGAAGAATACGTTTTCCTTACTCTAGATGCTCAAAACCTGTCATCTCTTGTTCAGTACATAATAGATGGTTTAAGGAAACGTTCTATATATTGTGTCGCAGTTCAGGACTTCAAACATCCAACAAATGCGGAATCATTTTTGTCATTTAAAAAGGGTGACCTTATTACTTTAAAACATGATTTAAATGGAGAAAAATTAATGACCACTACTTGGGGTTATGGAGAATGTAACAACAAAATGGGAGATTTCCCAACTGAATGCATATATATTATACCTACATTGTCAAGACCTCCTTCAGATATTCTAACAGCATTTAAGAAGGAGGGATATATCGTTGAAAAAGAATCTGCACCAATAATGAGTACATTACAACGTAATAAATTATACACGTTAGCACAATATGCGGAGGAGAACTTTAGAAGTGGGGGTAAATTAACTATAAGTAAAAAATCTGTTTTACAGGCCGCTCGTAGGTCATCATACGAGAAACTTTGGAAATATACGAACGAGCCAATTTATCGACCATTACTGCAAAAATTATTATCAGACGAAAAAGCAAGCAAAGAAGCATGTGATGTATTTACAGCAATTTTGAAGTATATGGGTGATTTGCCAGCACCCAAGGCTAAATTCAGTAATGAATATACTGATCAAATATTTGGGGAAGCTTTAAAAAATGATTTGCTCAAAGACGAAGTGTATTGCCAAATTATGAAGCAATTAACATTTAATCGTTTGTCTTTAAGTGAAGAACGCGGCTGGGAATTAATGTATTTGATTACTGGTTTGTTCCTACCTAGCACTAATTTACTTACAGAGTTACAGAAATTCTTAAAATCCAGGCAGCATCCATTCACAGAACACTGTCTTCAAAGATTGCAAAGAACTCAGAAAGTAGGCCCAAGAAAGTTCCCACCTTATTCCATCGAAGTTGAAGCTATTCAACACAAAAGCATGGAAATATTCCACAAGATATACTTCCCTGATGATACTGATGAAGCATTTGAGGTTGACTCCATGACAAGAGCTATGGATCTATGCAAAACAATTGGATTAAGATTAGGATTGCGATCGACAGATGGTTTCAGCTTATTCGTAGCCATATCTGATAAAGTATTTTCTATGCCTGCAAATGCATTCTTCTATGATTTCTTAAGTGAACTTATTAATTGGATGAGAGCTAATAAACCAAGTTGGGGAAGTAAGTATTTTTAAATTGTTAAAAAGAAATATATATTATTTTGAAAATACAACGATACTACTGGCTAATGTTATAAGTAATGGAAAATAATTGATATTATTATTCCTGAAATCATTTAACACAAAATTTCATTGTTAATTCAAAAGTTGTGGTTTTTGCCACTGATTTACAAAAGAATAGGAATTTTTCATTAGTGTACTGGGATTTGCTAAATTTTTTATTCAAGGGTCTGTTAAGGGAGGTATATGGTGTAGGTAGGTATAATAATAAATTAATTCCCACAAATTGTTGCAAAACTATAGTCAACATAAGTTTTAAAGAAAATTGAAAAAGTACCCTGTATTGATCCAGAAAAATAAATAAGTATGTATTTTTGACCCAGGATATTTTTAAGTAGGCATTCCGTACTCCTCTAGACTGCCCGTCTTTGCCATTATAGTGTACATTTTGTCATGAAACACCATGTGTATCTGGTTATTATTGAGGATTTTGTTTCGTATTCTTTCTTTTCACAACTCCATGTTATTTGGTAAAAAATACAAGTTTTCAAAGTTCTTTGTTGACTATTTTTAATTTTTTGTTTGTCTTATTACCATTATTGTATTCGATGCGTGTTTTGTTGTATGCCTGTTTTATGCATTTTCTTATTAAAGTATAGAGGTCGTTAAGAATACCCACCATTGCTTTTCGCCATTTGCCTTTCGTCTTACATAATTTTTGAGTAGATACGAGGGTTGTAAAATAAGGTTTCCAATTTTTTTTCAGAAAGAAAAATACATTTATTCGCAATTAATTATACATCGTTGGAAAGCCTGCACTTTCAACTATTTACTATGTTTTCTTTTGTTTTGCATGGTGATGTTTCTTCAAAATCTGACAGTAGCGATGAGCGTTTATTATTGTCCCTATGGAGTGTATACAAGGAGTGAAGACTCCTTGTTGGAAAAAGTTAGCCATTTCTTGGATCACGTAAAGACCGCGCTAATGTAAGTAAGTAGAGTATGAAAAAGGCGCGCGACGTGTAAGCGCAACTTCGTTACTAGACTCTCCAGTGCATGAACGCTATAACGGCGACTCCTTAAACTTTAGTTTGGGTCATAAAACTGGATCCAAATTTGTATGCGCGACCCATAAGAGTCTTCACTCCTTGTCTACACTCCATAGTTGTTCCGGTAGGCATGAATCGAACAACAATATCCCATTCCTATCCCAAAGCACAGTCGCCATCACTTTGCCAGCAGACAATGTTTGTTTAAACTTTCGCGGCTTCGGGGATTCTGAATGGCTTCCACTGACGGGATTGTTCTTTTGTCTCTGGTGTCGTGACCGTAACCCAGACTTCGTCGTCAGTGATAATTGAATCCAAAAATTCCTCGCCTTCCTTTGCGTAGCAATCAAAGAAATCGCGGGCCGCTTCCACCCGTTGCCGGTGATCTTCGGTGAGCATCCTAGTGACCTCGCACCTTGCACACATCTTGTGATAATGCAAATGTTCTATCAAAATCTTGTCAATAGTAGTCTTACTGACATCAAGGATCAATTCGTACAGCTCCCAAATCGTCACTCGCGATCTTCAAGCATTACCCTCTTCCCTCTTCACTCTTGAAATCGAATTTTTCACTAAAAGGGGAATTAATTTTAAACTGCCTTAAAGCTTGTCACCAATAATGTGATAATTAATTCCCCTCTACACAAAATACAAAAATTTAATTATCTTGACAACCGTTCATTTTTTCGTAATTCATGAAGTATACCTTTTTTGTAGAAAAGAAACAGGGCTATCTGCCTGCTTGGGCGAAATGTCAAATTTGACAGCTCTGTCAAAGTTGCGTAAATTTTAGAACATAATTTCGACCGTTCTCGTATAATAAAAAATATTTGATTCAATTTTAAATGTACAAAGATACATTTGAATGAATTGCTTTGATCCCCTAAATTTCAAGTTAATCAAAGTAACTCTAGAAATTATGGGCAATATTCATTTTTCAACTTCTTACTTTGAGTGACAATAACTTCTCAACAATGGCACCTAGGTAAAAAGTTTATATGAAGTACTAGCACTCGTTTGACCTGCTCTATATAACCCTTTATTTTTTCTCCGTAGTTATCGGACACCCTGTATCTTAAAAAGTGACGCAGTTATATTAAAAAAATTAAATAGAAAAATATTTTTTGAAGGTAGCTCTTTAAGAAACAAAATTGTACTTTGTAATAGGTAACTGGAATTAGTTTATTTTCCAAAGAAGGGAACATTAACTTAGAGGTTGCTTTTTTGATCACTTTAGACCAATTTGGTTTTTGAGATATTGTAGTTAGGATTTTAAACATATCACATTTATTAAACTTGAACTAATAAGTTACTATTATTTAAAGGTATTCACTAAACTAATTTTCAAATGTATTGGCGAAATAGGTACTGGAAAAAATCATTACTAAAATTCGCATATAGACACTCTATTAACATTTTATTATATTTCACTTATGGAAACTTCTGTTAGTTATTGCTTGTACACATACGCTTCTTTCTCGAGTAATTGCTTACTAAACGATCTGTTCCAATATTTAATTTTAAATTTTGCAATCCTTCAAAATAAAAATACTCATCAACCTCTATTTACTCTACTCAAAGTTTCAAAAAGAAATCAAATTTTAGGGTTGCTATTGTTTACAAAAAAAGTGAGACAGAAGGAGAGATAGAGAGTGTAAGGATAAAAAGAATTAAACCATCGGAAAAGATTTTTATATTGCATGTTAACTGTTAAGTTATTAAATTAAATTAATTAAATTTAATAAAATATTTAAAAATAATAATAATTTTTCTCAATAACTTTTAGGCGCTGCTCCAATTCAAGCTCAATATCAAGTATTTTTCATGAAGAAACTTTGGGTTAACACCGTTCCAGAAAAAGATCTAAACGCTGACCACATATTCCATTACCATCAAGAAGTTCCTAAATACCTTAAGGGTTACCACAAATGTAGTAAGCAAGATGCGATTAAGTTAGCTGCACTTATACTTATTGCCCGGTATGAAGATAACATCTCTGATGTGCAGTCAGCAATTCAGCAGAATTTGAAAGAAGTAATTCCAATAGATATTATTAGAGCAGCAAGTGCTTCCGACTGGAAAAAACTTATTCTAGCTGAATATAGAAATACTAAATTAAATAGTGAAGATGCTAAAACCTTGTTCTTAAAAACTATATTTAAATGGCCAACATTCGGTTCCACATTCTTTGAGGTCAAGCAAACTACTGAGGCGACTTATCCTGAAATTATAATTATTGCCATTAATAAACGAGGAGTTAATATTATTCATCCTCAGACCAAAGTAAGTACATTGTTATTTTTTTATATACAATACACTAGGTATATGGATAAATTTTAAATACCGGAACCTGAATGGTTCCGTTTACTCTCAAACGAAAACTATTCTTCACTAAAAATATATCTTTATTTTTGTGTATTATGAATATTAATTAACTAATTATTTTATATAGATAGGAGAACATTTTTCATAAAGTTTACAATCAACTTTAATTGGTCACTGCTTTAAATCGCTTTTCAACAAAGGAAAAATTACATGACGCTAAATTCGGACTATATGTCGAATGGTCCATAATTTTTACAGAGCAACATGCGTAATATTTTATTTATTTAAATTTGCATAAAAATACTATGAAGTGTATCCAGAATAAATTCTCTTATTTAATGATTCGTTAGACTTTAGTAAAAATAGACGGAACTTTAATACGTTTTAACGTGAACAGCAGATTTTCATTCTTTTGAAAAAAATATGCCACTTTTTTATAAGGAAATTTACAATCAACTTATTACACCACAATGAATTCATGGTGAGCTTTAAAATATTTGTAACTTTCATGTAACTTTTCCTGCCGTGGCGTTTTTTGTTCGCAAACAGGATCTAGATTCCGGAAAATCTTTGAATTTCATTAAAAGATGAGGAAAGATATATTTATTATAATCATTCGGTTATTCTCTTGCAGGATATTTTAGCTACGCATGAATATTCGGAGTTAAGCAACTGGTCATCAGGAAACACATACTTCCATCTTACTATCGGTAATATTATGAGAAAAACTAAACTTCTTTGTGAAACATCACAAGGATACAAAATGGATGATTTATTAACCTCATATACTGCATATCTCAGAAGTGAGAAAGAGAAAGATAAAGTTATTTTGTAATATATTGAATTTATGATTATTGTGAAATACAAATAAATATTTTATAGGTACTTTATTCTTATTGTTATTTCTGAAAATTTACGAGGTTGACAATAAAGTTAACGAACTCTTGTAATTCCTCTTGGGAAGTTACATACTGACGCTACGCTTTATAACAATTTAGAACCTTTACTTTATCTCATTTTCTTGTACATAAAATTCACTAATTAAAAAATGCCAGGGTTTTCAGACTTTTCGGATTCATCGCTGTAGAGCAAGTTCAAAAGCTCCACAAAACTTAATACAGTCGATGATTTTGTACAACATATATCTGCTTCTGGTCCCCTATTCATCGTACTTTCGAATATTTATCCTATTAGGAGAATTAAGCTGAGCATGTATGTCGACATAAATGCTGCTAAATAATGCAATTGGAATTTGATTGCTAATATGAGTTTTACTGTTATCATGTTTTTTATCTTTTCACTTAAATGTACCAGATGTCTTTTCCCTTCAAATTTTCTTCGGGACAACCACAAATTCAGTTATTTCGTAAATATATGTCTTTGTCTTTTATACAGGGTGTTTTTTAAATAGAGGTAAAAAATCCAGTTCTGTGGCTAACAATAAAGGTTTTTTGTTATACAGGGTGTTCCTAAACTATGGTGCCAAATGAATATGACAGATAGAAAATGTCATTTTGAGCAAAAATTACAACATAACAAAACTACTTACTACAAAAAAAGTTATTTAAGCATATGTTGAAAGTGATCACCGTTAGCTCTAATACATGCTCTAACTCTTTTTAAGAAATGAAAGGGGAGCTTATTCAAAACTTCTTCATTCGTCTTTATTTCATTGAAAGTGTCCGTTATTCTTTGCCTTAAATGATCCTCGTCTTCTATTGGAATTTCATACACTTTAGATTTTGCGTATCCCCAAACAAAAAAATCTAAAGGAGTTAGATCTGGGCTTCTTGGTGGCCATGGCTGAGGAGCATCCCATCCACGACCAATCCATCTATTTGCAAAAATATTATTTAAATGTCGCCTTACTTGTCGAGAGTAGTGAGGAGGGGCCCCGTCTTGCATTAGCCACATATTTCTTCTGGTTTCCAAATCAAGGTCTTCCAAAACTTCAACAAAGTCGTTGTTCAAAAAATGTAAGTAATTTTCCCCATTCACATTTAGAGGAAGTTCAATTGGACCCAAAAGTTTATTGCCAATTATTCCCGCCCATAAATTGATTTTAATTTTGTATTGTGAATGTCGCACAACTGTTGCATTTGGATTTTCATCATTCCAGTGATGACTATTTCTTAAATTGAAAATGCCATTTTTTGTGAAACAACACTCATCAGTAAACAAAATACGTTTGGCGAACATCGCATCAACACGAACCTTTTCTGACATCCAGTTGCAAAATTGTAGTCGTTTTGGCAAATCTTCAGCAAGCAATTCTTGTACTTTAGTCATATGATATGGATGCAGTTGTTGTTCCCTAGCAATCCTCCATACCAAGGAATGTGGCATATTTTCGGCGAAAGCAATTCTTCTGGTGCTTAAAGTATCATCTTCTTCAAAACGTTGGAGAACACGCTCTTCAGCCCCTGGAGTTCGGATCGTTCTGGGACGGCCAGTGTCATAATGACTTTTTTTAAAAGTACCTGTTTCTCTAAGGCGCCGGTCGATGGACATAAACAATTTTCGAGAAGGTATTCTCCTATTTGGATAGGTTTGTTCATATAATCTACTTGCCATTCTTGTATTACAGTCACATTTTCCGTAAATTAAATGCATATCTGCAAGTTCTCCAAAGGTGTATTGTTCTGCCATAACAACTTTTAATGAGTAACGCCAGCTAAATTTTATGCTATCAAAACATACAATTAACTTTTGACAGGAAAACTGAAAGGTTATTTTAAATTTCATGGCTACTATGATGACGAACTTCCATTGCTACCTCTATCTTGTCGGGTGCACGACAATAAATTTTGCAAATTTTAAAGAGAACGGTTCATGTTGGCGACATTGAACAAGAGTACCTTTTTTGTGACATATTAGTTTATTTTTCAGAAAATTTGATCAATTTTCCGAAAATGCAAAGGACAATTTTTTTTTCATAATAAAATCCTATGTGCTACCCCGGCTCTCCGCTCCTGGGCGATGGGAATAAATTGTTCTTGCACGAAATTGTTGCATTTTAGTGTCTAAGAAACTGCACCAAGATTCATTTAAATTGCCTAACTTTTGTAGAAGTTATTGCGAAAAATTGTTTCTCAAACTGTACCTTTATCACCCTGTAACTTTTTTATTATGCATTTTCGGAACTATGTTTACATGAAACTTTTTGCTCAAAATGACATTCTCTATCTGTCACATTCATTTGGCACCATAGTTTAGGAACACCCTGTATAAATGTAGGACAGCCCTTGTCCAGCTGCAGCGTGTCAAAAATTAAAAGAGAAATCAATTTTTAATGCAAAACTGTTCAGATATTTTTTTCAATGTCTTTCGGAGTCAGGCTCATTTCAGAAAGGTCCAATTCCTTGAAGACCTTTGAGTGTTAGAACGCCTGAGTTGGAAGAAGCTATTCTACACGAAATTGAAGAAGACCCAAATGCTAGTATTAGGAAGAGCGCTGCAAATCTTAATATGAATCATAAATTAGTTTGGTCCGTTCTGAAGCATCATACCCGTATCACATACAAAGGGTTTAAGCGTTACTGCCGCAAGACTATCCTGATCGCCTACAATTGTGCCATTGGATTTTGAAAAAAATTCAACAAAATGTTGACGGCATATTGTTTACCGACGAAGCTAATTTTTCCGGAGAACATTCACTATAAACCCGTTTAAAACCCTCATGCCATAATGGAATCTCGATTTCAACATCAGTTTTCTGAGGTATTATTGGAAATTTTCTTGTTGGGCTTTACTTTTTACACCAACTTTAAGAGGTGCCTCCTACAGACATTTTCTTAAAAACGTTTTACCTGACGATGTTCCCTATGCGCTAAGAGAACGAATGTGGTTTATGCATATCGGGGTTCCCTCATATTTTAGTTTGACTGCTCGTGAATTTTGAAATGAAAGATTTGGTAATAACGTGATTGGACGAGGCATTCAAGAACAAGGTCAACCTTGCCCATATCACCCGATATGAACCCTATTGATTTTTTTGTTTGAGGACATCTCAAGGTATTAGTTTACAAGGTTCACATTGAATCTGAGGAGTACTTACGTCAACAAATAGTTGGTTGTGATGTGATAAGAACTACTCCTGGATTTTTTGCACGTGTTCCAGCTGCACTTTAAAGAAGAATCTGAAGTATGTATTTTGGCTGAAGGTGGCCATTTTCAACATGTGTTATAATAAATCATAGTAAAGTAATCCCACTGTTGATTAATTATTTTGTTATATTAAGTAATGTAATGAATTATAAAAAATGCACTTGATCAAATAAATCAATTGTGTTGTTAATCGGTTTGGAATACAAAAAAGTGTAAAAAAAAATGGCGCATATAAAAACCTATTTTATTTGTAATATTATATAGGGTGAGATATTTTTTTGGCAAATAATTATCGACGATACTCACTCCTCCGCCGCTAGTAAGTTTCTAAAGCTGATAATTTTTTGTTTCATACCTACTATTAAATATGCACACCGTTAAATTGTCTCAAGCGGTTTAGATATTAAAAATTAAAACTTTTTTTTCTTTAATTTTTGACACGCTATGGCTGGACAATGGCTGTCCTAAGACCTCACATTTATATAACAAAACAAAATTTATTTTTGGCCACAGACTACGCGCCTGGATTTTTTAAATTTACTTAGGGAACACCCTGTATGTTTTCCTAACGACTTCGCCCAGCAAGCGCTAGTAAGCGCCACAAAATATACAAAAAAGAAATACAATTTTTCTGCTGTGAAGCCACCCACCTACCTATACTACTTAACTAGAAGACCGATGAACTACATAACGACGCGACGGCGGAAATTTCAAATATTTGTAATTTAGTGTATTAGTAAAAATAACATATGCATATTATAGCTATGTTTATTATATCCTTTGAAATAATGATCTTTTACAACTCAGAAGAATGTGTAATTAAAAAGTATAAATTACGGTCAAATCAGGAGTTGGATAAAAAAAGTTTGATTGTCCTTTTAATATAAAAAAAATTCTAACGCGTCTATGACCCAAAACTAACGTTGAAGAAGTTATAATAACTTTTGTTCTTAACAAAAACACTTTTTTGTAGAAATGCCTCGGAAACCAGTAATTTTTCAGGAAATTATCACTTGGACCACTTTCCAAAGTTCCTGTTATAGAAAATTCGTTTTGTTAGTTAGCTTCTATATCACAAAGAAAAGTAATATTATTTGCATCGAGAATTGAAGTAATTTGTAAGCAACATTTTTTAGAACTCAGGCACCTATACCTTTTGATTTTTGATATATCGGCCTGGGGAATTTTAGACGGAACACTCTGTATTTAGTTAATATTTGTGTTAGTAATAAAAATACTGTTGTACCCTTAAATGTGTAGTTAAACGCAAGTCAATTATAAAATACCTAATTCATTCAAACCTTTTAAACTGTCAAACTCAATAAGGGGTAAGTTTTAGAATTGTAGTAATTTTAGAATTAAAATATTAAAGATACAACGCGAGAAGTTTGTGGCACTTAACACACGTTTATTATTCTTATGTTTAATACATTTTTAGTAACTACCTATTGACTATATTCCCACATAATCATATTCATCATTTATAATACTGCTCAACTTAATAAATCTAAATATTTATTAATACAATAAATAGACATAATATAAAAGTTAAATAGTACCCTAGATACAAAATCACGGAAATGAAAGTCCATATTTTTTGGTCACTTGCGGAGAAATTACTGAAGCTACTGACATAAGTAGAGGTATATCATTTATTTCAAAGTGCAAAGTTGCAGTTAATAGATCCATTGTACATATATCTGTGTGCAGGAGAAGTTGACCGAATGCATAGGAACGGATGCATATTTCCAGAAGCCTTTGTTCAATGTGCGTTGCACTCTAGAACAAAATATACAATATATTTTCCTACAATATTACATAATAGGTATACTTATATATATTACGGAAAAGGGTTATAATAAAAATAATTACTATATTTGCATGAATTAAGCGAAAGTAATATCCATTTTATCTGGATTAGATAACAGAAACATTAAAATTACTCAAATACATCATAAAATGTGGTTAAGTAATATATTGTGCTTGTGTCTCAAGATGGGTGAATAACCTTTTTAAAAGACAAACAAATCTATATGGTGTCCCACACTGAATTGTATATAGAGTAACAGGTGAATTGTGACGTTATAATAATTTGATATGTCCAAACTTATCTAAGTCCAAAAGTTGATAGTAACCGAGTCACAGGGTGTCAAAATTAAAATTTAATTTTTTAATTTTTTTAAATAATCTTCGAATTAATTGCTGTATTGAAACGAAATTTGGAATCCATTGTTTTTTTGACACCGTCTCTGGGAATTTTTGTAGTTCACAATTTTTTTTCTACACACTGTATCTTACTTTCTGATACCAAAACATTTAAATATACTTTATCAAATTAGTCCTGCAAATAAAAACAGAAGCAATGAAAAACGCTTTCAAACCTAGTTTATGTCAAACTTGTCATTTAATTAGTGATAGATTTAGATTACTGTTGAGTTGCTGCAGAGTTTTTCATTCATATTAATTTGACACCCTGCATCCCNAGTGCAAAGTTGCAGTTAATAGATCCATTGTACATATATCTGTGTGCAGGAGAAGTTGACCGAATGCATAGGAACGGATGCATATTTCCAGAAGCCTTTGTTCAATGTGCGTTGCACTCTAGAACAAAATATACAATATATTTTCCTACAATATTACATACAGGTATACTTATGGAACGATCCGTGTCAACCGTGCCACCCGCTAGTACAAAAATTGAATCGGTCAAAAAAATCGCACGACGGTTTAAAAAATTTGTTGAGATGAGCGCTTTCGAAAGCCGTGTGGCGCTTTTTAATTTTCAAGATGGCGGTTGCAATATGGCGGCTACTATCCACGAATTTTGGCGACCTCCTGAAAGAAGTGCTACTGAAAAAGGAGCGATGATGACGAAAATTTAGCTATGCAACAAAAAATGTTTGTCTGGTAGAGAGTTATCAAATTCCATGCATGTCCTCTGAATTTTCAAAATGGCGACTTCAAAATGGCGCCGATATCAACGAAATACCAAAATTTTTGGCTTAAACCTGTTGCAATCCACATTTAACGGTGTATGAGCTAGTGTTATTCAACAAAAAACGTTGATACGGAAGTGCTCTATCAAATGTTACGTGCTCCTTACACAAATTTTAAAATGGCGACCTCAAAATGGCGCTTATATCAGCGAAATAGCTCGATTTTGGGTCAAGATCTGCTAATAACGCCATTTAATTGCGGTTAAGCTCATGCTATCTAACTAGAAACGTTCGTAAGCAAGTGCACTACCTAATATTGTGTGCACCTTACAAGTTTTCAAAATGGCGCATTCAAAATGGCGCCTATACCAGCGAATTATTACTGTTTCACTGATATAAGGGCCATTTTGAGGTCGCCATTTTAATATTTGTGCAAGGAGCACGTAACATTTGGTAGAACATTTCCGTATCAACGTTTTGTGTTGAATAACACTAGCTCATACACCGTTAAATGTGGATTGCAACAGGTTTAAGCCAAAAATTTTGGTATTTCGTTGATATCGGCGCCATTTTGAAAATTCAGAGGACACGCATGGAATTTGGTAACTCTCTACCAGACAAACATTTTTTGTTGCATAGCTAAAATTTCGTCATCATCGCTCCTTTTTCAGTAGNTTTATTTCAAAGTGCAAAGTTGCAGTTAATAGATCCATTGTACATATATCTGTGTGCAGGAGAAGTTGACCGAATGCATAGGAACGGATGCATATTTCCAGAAGCCTTTGTTCAATGTGCGTTGCACTCTAGAACAAAATATACAATATATTTTCCTACAATATTACATAATAGGTATACTTATATATATTACGGAAAAGGGTTATAATAAAAATAATTACTATATTTGCATGAATTAAGCGAAAGTAATATCCATTTTATCTGGATTAGATAACAGAAACATTAAAATTACTCAAATACATCATAAAATGTGGTTAAGTAATATATTGTGCTTGTGTCTCAAGATGGGTGAATAACCTTTTTAAAAGACAAACAAATCTATATGGTGTCCCACACTGAATTGTATATAGAGTAACAGGTGAATTGTGACGTTATAATAATTTGATATGTCCAAACTTATCTAAGTCCAAAAGTTGATAGTAACCGAGTCACAGGGTGTCAAAATTAAAATTTAATTTTTTAATTTTTTTAAATAATCTTCGAATTAATTGCTGTATTGAAACGAAATTTGGAATCCATTGTTTTTTTGACACCGTCTCTGGGAATTTTTGTAGTTCACAATTTTTTTTCTACACACTGTATCTTACTTTCTGATACCAAAACATTTAAATATACTTTATCAAATTAGTCCTGCAAATAAAAACAGAAGCAATGAAAAACGCTTTCAAACCTAGTTTATGTCAAACTTGTCATTTAATTAGTGATAGATTTAGATTACTGTTGAGTTGCTGCAGAATTTTTCATTCATATTAATTTGACACCCTGCATCCCGGTTACTATCAACTTTTGGAATGAGGTAAGTGTGGCCAGATCACATTATTATGACGTCACAAATTGCCTATTACTCTATGTATAATTTATTATGGGACATCCTGTATATTGTTAATTCTGTAGGTACTTCAAAAAAATGTTACACAGTTAAAATGTTAATTTCAAAATTAAATATAATTATAAAAATTATATAAAGTTTTTTATTCTTGTCAACTTTTCTTAATAGCCTTCTTTCTTTATATCTTAATATCTTTCTTAATATCTTAATGTTGTATCTATGTATCTGCTATAGAAACGTTATGTATATGAATGTTATGTTCACATTAAATATTCTGATATCTAGTTAAAAACATTGAAATACCTTCAGTAGAATAAAAGGGACAGTAAATCTCTCATTTCTGTAAGATTCAATGAAATTAATAAAATACACAGTTGTGGTGTATTAAATGTTCTATATTTTAGTTTGTAAAAATAATGAAAGTGATTAAAATCCTCCATAATTTACTGAAGTTAAATAAAGTGTTAAGTTGTTTTGTAGAAAAAAAGAGATTTATAAATATGTATATGCTAGTCTACATTTTATCCACCATACTTGAGAGTAGCGAGATATGATCTGCATGAACTATAGATGTAAATGGCTGTTAAATGTTTAAAATCTTTATCTTAATATCTTACAGGGTGACAATTAGAATACATTACAATAACGAATAGGTTATAAGGTTGTAGGAAAGACTTTTATCGTGTCTCTTTGTTATCATAAAATATAAATATTCATTTTTTTATACGCTGTTTCCAAAAAAATAAACATAATAATACTAATATAACCACATAACTTAAGTACAGTCAACGGGGGTGATGTTGGACGAATTTTTCGATTATTTTACTCTATTTCTGGGTCTGATAGGTAAAAAAATCTGAAAAAGGTGTGTTGTATTGTGTGGTATAATTAAAATTTGTATTTTGCTTTTAGTTTTTTATGTATTTTTGGACAACGGTTGTCCAACTTCACCCGGCATAAAGGGGTGAAGTTGGACATAGCTTTAAATCAATGGAAATCTAGTTACTGAACGGTCTATTGCCCGAGTTGGACATAAAAATTGTTTTTTAAAAAGGAACTCTTTCAGTTTCACTCTAAAATAAATTTATAGAGTTTGAAAAATGTGTATTAAACCTTTATTAAAACTACCATTAACAAAATTTAAATTTCTTATAAAAATATAACAAAAAATATTTAACATTATTTAAAAACTTATTTAAAACTATTATAATTCCTTTAACGTGGTTGTGAAGTGTTCATTTTCGAACACTTCACAAACACTTAAAATCTTATTTTTCACTTCTTTTACTGCCATTTCCAAATTTCTGGTGGGGTAAATACAATTCGGCTTTATGCCAAGCGGTTTTCGATAAATAACTAACCCTGGAATAACACAACAGTGTAAAAAATTCTCCCACTCCACTTTTTTTACAAAAATATAATTGAAAATTTCCATGATTAATACTCATACAATAGTGTAACTCCTCAGACAAAAAGGTTGATATTCCGCCAGCCACATCGTAGCTACAGTAGTTATAAGAACAAGTTTATGAAAATGTAAAAATTTCATACAATACTGTCGTAAATTACAGACTCACTTACCTCCGTCCTTCATACCCACACCGCGTTCCAAGAGAAACAGAACATGTTGTTTCACGATTTCTGCAGCCAAATCAGTTAAACGTTCACCCCCCACCTACCGGGTAGGGATTTTTTTTAACACTACCGTTGGTCCACCTTCACCCCTACTGTCCAACATCACCCCGGTTGACGGTACGTACAATAATGTTCTACTTACATATTTCTTGCAAAAATTCAAATTCCACATTTGCAGCAAAACTTCTAACATATTAGCAACTAGTGATGATATATCTAATTTCATCCCTATTGATTTTCGGTTAATACTAGCGCGACTGGAGATAACTTCGACATCCCTGAAATATAATTTATTAACAGATATAACTATTCAGAGAAGCTTTCTCTTACCATTTATCTACATTACCAACAACTGCTACAGATTCGTCTACAAATCCATCAAAAAAGTAAATCTGCCTTGTTAAATAAAGATCTCTTTTTAATTTTAATATCCAATCCTCTTGAAATACACTTGCCCCTTGCACTGCCATGTCTGGGACATATTTTCCAATTGTATCACTTTTTAAAGAGGAAGCATATGCTGTTTTAAATATGTTATTTAATTTAGATCTGGAAAACGAGTGTGCAATCAAAATAAATCTAATTTAAAGGTAAATTAGAATGAAAAATACAGGACACTCAAGTAGGTATATAGAATTGCTACAGATTTTTGAGACCAAAACAAAAAACTTCTTTAAAATTACCTCCATCCAAAGTATTCAAAATTACTTGATTTAGCTGCAAGAGAGCTTTAAGCTTTAGATGCAAAAGGGCTTTAGCTTAGCAAAAATATCGTTCTTTCCAAATAACTTTCAATATGGTGGCAGCATTGTGATTGGCTTCGTTACTTAATAGTGAAATTGTCGAATTACTCAAATATCAGATGTGATATGTGATATCTCCACTTATAGGCAAAACTAAGTTTTTGTCGCTACGCAGAGAGTAACTAAATTGTTCCGCTAAATTTTAATGGCATATTCTAATGTAACAATTTAACAAAAAAAAATATTACATGTAATCAGCTATTGTATATATTAATTTCGGGACTGGTAATGTTTAATTAAGAATTCTAAATCGTGAACGAGGAAACCAGCCCATTAATTGACAACTGCCAGTCTACAAACCAAATGTCAAAAAGTAGTTCCAGTACATAAATTTTCAATTAAATTGTACAAGACGTTTGAAGGTTATTTGCATAAAACTAATTCTACAGACATACCAACTTCGATATCCTTTAAGACTAAACTAAGCAGTTGTGGTTAGAGGTAAGTTTAGGTAAATCGTCTTATTTTAACCCCATGTACACGTAATCTTAGGACATTATGTATATATGTGCATATTTGGTACACTTACCTTGGCAGGGGAAAAGAAATAATTTTCATTTTCGATAATTTATGAAACTTTCTTTGTTTTCTGTTACAATGCAATACTTGCTTATTTTTTTCTTTAAAGTAATCACAATTATTATCCAAATCTAATACTTCTTCTTCCTCTAGAGATTTACTATTGGAATGTTCATTATTAAATATATTAATCGTTCCCAAATGCTTTTGTTTTATAGGTTCACATAAATAATGAAGAACTGAACTGGAATGTTGAGTAAAGGGATTCAGCTTCTTAGATGAATCCAAAGTAGTGGCGTCGTTGTCGCTTTCAGAAGCTTCAGTCGAAGAATTTGTAAGGCACGGTTTTAAATTGATAAGTTCTTCATTTTCTCCTAAAAGAAATGTTACTTTTGTTGAGGGGGATAAATAATTTTCTTCATACTCCTCATACTTTGATAATTCTGAGAGATTAGACATACACACTTTTGACTTGTGTAATGTTGATTTCATTTGATAAGTTGGAACAAATGACTCTTCGGAAGGTTTTGTTAAACAATTTCCAGAACATTTGTAATTTAAGCAAATTGTATCAGCGGTTTCATTGTCCTTACTCACGTTAATTCTTTCAAGACAGTTATGTAGAACTGTAGAACATCTAACGAAGTAATGTACGAAATGAAGTACTTTCGAAATTATATCGTTTTGATTTGATCCACTTATGATAGTTTGCGCGGATTTTATAGGCCATCCATGTGCCCCGTATAACTCAGTTAGTTGTCTCCATAAACTATTATAACTTGTAACTATATGATCTTTATTTGGGGGTGACAAGGAGAAACAAGTGGTTATCCATCCCAAGTGATAAGTTAATGTAGCTGTTATTATAGTACTTAAAAAGCTGGAAAACAAAATCATTATAAATACTGATGAATTTAAATATAGAATATATTTAAATTTTTAAAGATATAAAGAGCAATTTGGGTTTTAATTAATTTTTAACTGAGCAGTGTCAATTGAACCTTTCATTTCATAAAAATCATATACAGAATGTAACTTAAATGATTTTAAATATGTAAGGTTGGTCAATTTTAAGAAAAAAATTAATTTGAATCACTCAAGTGTCTTATGTCTGGTGATTTTTCTGATGAATGATCTTAGCTATTTACTAGATATTTGGGATTCAATGTTGGACGGGGCATGTAGCCTGATGCGGAGTAGTTGTTATCCACAATAAGAAACAAGCTTCTGAACTTATGGTAAGAATCAATACTCTCAATCTCATAAATCATGTGATTTTAAAATGAATATTGAAGTGAACAGGCACATATTTTTTAGTTAGTACCTATTAATTAAATTTTTGTAAGTATAATGCACTCAATATTTACATACTGGGATCAAATATTCCCTTACCATGAATATATAATCGGTTAAATTATAAGTTTTGAAAAAATCACTACTATTATTTTGAAAAGAGAAGTTACTGAAAATGGTCTATTTTTTAAATATTAAATAACTCTGGAACTTTGAGGAAATAATTTTTCAGAACATGTTGGCATGTAGGTATTCCAACTTAAAATAGATTGAATTACCTGAAATATTCTCCACTTTGCTAATTTAATCAATTTCTTTCTAGAAATAAAAGCGTTACACTTGTAAGGAAATAGAAAATAGTAACCCTGTACAATTCTGATAGGAGCTGAAGATATAAATTGCTTATTATTTGGAATTGATAAAAAACAGTCGGCAAGGATTATGATTCTCATAAAATTACTTAGTGGTCTCACATAAAACGTAAATGTATTGCATTTAGCTATTAGTATTAGATTTTAAATACTCAATTTGTTTTGTTATTATTATTGTTTATTAAGCTCCAATATTTTCTACTTATTAACGCAAACAGTATTATTTTAATATTGCACTCAAAAATTTACTACAGCATCAAGGAAGTACTTATTCTAAAAAAAATATTTGAAGCAGAAGTAAACATAGTACAGAAAACTCAGAATTAATAATTATTTCCAATATTTTTTGCTGATTTTTACTCATAAAACGTTTGTGATTATGTGCAAGGGAATAAAATTTGTTGTTATGTATTACCATTGTATAAGTAAATACCATTGTATAAGTTATTTACTTATACAATGGTATTACTTAATGAAAAAATTTACAAAACATTTCTTTAACCTTTTGGGTATAATGAGGATGATTGTTAAGATCATTGTTTAGTCAGACAATATTTAATATTAAGTAGGCTAATAACCGGTGTGTAAAAATAGCATTATATAACATTTCTTTTCTTTATAAGTTACTTACAAATTTGTTTCCCTATTTTCTACTGTTTTTAGTAGTTCACAGAATTCATCAAAATAATCTTCTGCCTCATTACAAATTGATACAGCTACTACTTTACGTTGTGGAATATATTTTTTCGGAAAGACTGTGCTGTTTAACAATGAAAATTTTTGATGATTTATCTTGAACATTAAAGAAGCTATTTTTAACTTGAGTGGATCATCGTGTATTTCTTCGGAATACCTATTCAACTTATTAGACATTGTATTATTCATTTCATAACTGTTACATTTTTGTAAGTCCGGAAACATGCGTGCCAGCCACTGTGTTGACTTGTGAAAAATTTCGATCATCGTAGAGAGCAGGATTGAAGGTTTGTTAAAGACAGTTTCCATATTTTGCCTCATACGGAATACAACAGATTCAATAAAAGCTATATGTTTCATATAACACTTAAAATATCTGAAAATAAATATAAAACATATTTTAATGTCACTATAAAAAAGGGGAACAAACTAAACAACATTTTTGTAACAACAGGCTGACGAAATAAACCAGAAACTGGACTCTATCGAACGTTTTTAAGGCAATGACTCCGAATCCAACCTCAGAATTGCTCTATCATGTGAGGTTTTCCAGATATACTAACGTAAAAGTTGGAAAAAGCCGTTTTCGCTATATTAGAAGTTATGTTAATTGTCTTCACAAATGGCAGCTAAAAGTATTACTTTTCCTTTTCAAAATCCATTTTGAATCGTTCAAATATATTCTTTCCTCTTCGAGAAATTTTCTGTTTAAATTGTTCTGTGTATTCGTTGATATTCGGAGATTGAGTAGCGTCAGGTGAAGATTAAAAAAAGAGCGAAGAATCAAATTAGAGACACCTAAATTCTCATTAGTTCTTTAAGTTTTCGGGGCCGCTCATTACGATTACAAAATTCAAAATGGCGGATCCAAGATGTCGGATCAAATTTAAAAAATTTTGGAATTTAGAAATGTAAATAATTTTGTCGAATACTACACGAAATTTCTAAAAGAAATCATGAACAGAAATATCATTTAATGCAATGAAAATAATGAAATTATCAAACTACGATCATGATGGGTGAGGTGATTATATAACCACACAAACGATTTCTCGGAGGGGAAAAGGCGAATTTTGTGGGAAAAAATTAGTACATAACATAACCTGAAGTATTCCGGAAAATTGTGTTTTTCACAATTTTAGATTAGGATATTGTCGTATTACTAATCCCGAGTTTCGATAATTCTCTACACTTTCCATTCCGGACAACGAAATTGGAAAAAATCGCCTCAAACCAAATCCGTAGTAGCCAGAGTCAAGAACGAGGTCCCAAAGGACCTACAGCCCCAACGCGGCGATGCAGAGGGCGTAGTGAGAAAATTGGAAATTTCACCTATCTTTCCAAAATTCCGTCTTCGCGCTCTAAACCGCTCCAAGCAGCTACAAAACGCCCTATTGATGATAGTCGAAGTTGACGAGGACCGATGCCGTCAACAGCTTCTTTTAGAACGTCGTGGCGCGGCGTGGGAATTAGACGTTTTTACCAATCTTTCCAAAATTCCCGCCGTCATGTCATGCCCAAAAACCACTTTATGCAGTCAAAACCGCTCCAACGTAGCAGCTCACATCCCCAACAGCGAAATTTGAGGGCCGTGGAGCCAATTTAATTCCGAATTTCGGAGATAAAAAAATTTCCCGGATACAACGAAGTTCGGACTCAAAGAGGTGAACATCGAGTATACCATTAATCTAGTTAACCAAGATGTCACGATCTAGAGCTGTAGAAATTAACACGCGATTGTCAGCCAGGGTTCAGGAAACCGTACCAAAACAGAGCCCACATAGAGAAGCGCATACAGAAGTTATATGTCAACCCAGGAAATCGGCAGATATACAGATCACTTTAAATACAGAAACTGCAGGAATAGATTAATTGATAAAAAATAAGTAGAGTTTGCTCTATAAACTTTTTTCGGGGGGGGGGGGGCGTGGTATTCGAGATACAGGGTGTTAAAGTTTTCAACAAAAATTATATTTTCTGTTATATTTTCACATTGCACTGAACGATTTGAATGAAATTTACTACATCGTTTTCACTTAGTTAGACTCTTTATTAAATGTAATATTAACCTCTTATTAATGAAAAATGTTTCTTGATGTATTTTTAATAGTGGCAGCTGCCTGAGAAAATGGGGTGTCAACTCCAGTAGCACGCCACTGGTTAAAGCGACGCGATTAATAATACATTGAACAAAAGGCCTGATTAAGTGAATACGCTGTTGTAAATTGCATTCAATTCCATCAGCGCATTATGCAGATATGGCAGAAAATATATATATTTTTGTAAACTTTAACATCCTGTATTCGAATACCGAGTCCCGCAGGAAAAAAGTTTATAGAACAAATTCTACTTATTTTTCGGTAATGAATCTAGTTCTGTAGTTTCTGTATCTAAAGTGAAATCTCCCTGTATAATCAGGGATGGATTTTATATACAGCTTTCTATAATGTATATCTATTTGTTAATTGTCAAACTTATTGTAATACGCTCAAAGATCAACAATAAAACAAAACTATAAAATTCTATATTTGAGATAGCCACACACGAGCTTAAAGCTTAAAGCAATATCATTAAATCTTGATACGATGAAGCAATTCTGAGGTCGAATTCGGATTGATGTGCTATGAAAATCTTTAAGGAATTATAGTGTGGCTTTTGGTTTGGAAGGTGAGTCACATTTCGTCGACCTGTATAATTAAAAAAAAATAAAGAGCATTTCGAGTAATATGGCTTAAATATCCGTTAATATGCATTCAAGTTAATAACATCTGTTTAACGAAGAATAACTTATTTTAATAGGTACTACTTACTCATCGTTATCACTAGCAATTGCTAAAATTATCACAAGTCCTAATGTAGGTGAAGTCTTGGTAGGGCAATTTTCACCGGAATAAAGATCCAATTCACTTAAAGATTTATTGGTATCAGAACTAAGTATTCTACTTTGACTGCGATTTAACGAAACTCCTGAAAACAAATATACGTTAGTTAAATAGACATAAAAACAAAAAATATCATAACACTTGTGTTTATCTCTAATTTATATTTAGAATCAAATATTTTAAATAGATTTTAATAAAAATTGTTTTAATTTTCATTACACAAAACCGTTGCCATGATGTTTATTAATATTATGATATAGGACATCTTTCTAAATAGAAAATACGTACTACACTCACCGCTGTTGAAGTTGCTTCTGTTCGAAATTACGAAACTGCTAAAAGACTGTTCCGCATATCCTGAATCAAAGGTATTCGTTGATAAGTTTGGAATATTAAACTGATCATGAAAAAGTTGTTGGTCTGAAAAAAAAACATGAATATATTAGGTAATTCTAATTAATTACTTGTAAAATATTTTATTGCAGATGAAGAAAATAAAGAAAACTGTAAAAATGCTTTTTCTTCTCTTTCTTTAAGTTAATTTTAATGTTCACAATAAACCTACCTTTTCAAAATTAAACCTTTAAATAAATACTCGGTATAGTGTGCTTCTCTTAAGGATATTTCTATAAAATGTTTATTTATTGACAGAGTAACTGATTTTTGTTCTGTTACATAGACAAGTATTGCGAACTCATTTTGTGAAATAAAGGTACGGCATATAACAATTATTATTTTGGGATAAAAAGTGTAAAGAAATGTACTTTTACTTTTTTATTTTTAAGAATAAAAGTACATTAAAGACAATTTTTCAGTTGACTAATCCTTAAGTGAAACAATTAGCACTTGATAATTATTACTGTATTTATTTACCTAGTTGTCTTCCTAATTCAAAAGAAAGTATACTATTTTGTGAAGTTGCATCATCTGGTGCGGTTGCTAAATAAAATAAATTATTCACGGTAGGTGACAAATGTGGATCCAAAGCACAAAATTCTATTCTCTTGGAACCGGGAAAAGGAAAGACCTGAAGAATAATTTACATTGGTTAATTATAATTTATATATACATTTTAGATTCTTAGGTAGATTTAAAAAAATGTATGTTTAGTTTTTAGTCTTTTCTTACCTACGCCTTGATACAAAAAATGTACTAATGCAATGATTGTTAATTTTACGGTTTAATAATCGTGCGATTACGATTAATATAAACATGCTAGATATTTGAATATCTAATTTGTACTAAAGAATATACAAAAATAAAGAATATTTATAATAAAAGTAAAATGATCGACCAAAGTCGCTGCCTTGAAAGGTTGTACGACGTAGATTTAAACTTTTTTTAAATATTCCATACAATTTTAACATCCTTGTTAATTTAATACTTAAAATAAATATCTACAAAAAACACTCTATTCTTTTATTATTTAGGCAACACAAATATTTATTCTCTATTGTATGAAAATAAAAGTAAATCATTAATTAAAAATAAAAAAATATATATTCACAAATGGTGACCAAAAATGACACCTCGTATTCTTTGGTGAATTTTAAGGGGAGTCTTTCCCATAAAGTTTTTATCTAGAACGCCTCGTTAAAAAGATAAGAGGGTGTTAAACTTCAAAGAATATTTTTAATTTTTTTAAATAATTTAAAAACTAGTAAGTGAAATAATTTGAAATTGGGCACGTGTATATATGTAACATTGTCCAAAATCTGAGGGTATCGGTGGCATATTTTTCTAAATAAAAATAGTACTCCACTGCTTTAGGCTAACAACCATGATATTTTCGGATTTTTCTACAAATTACTACTCTCTTGTTTTTCGAAAAAAAGCCTGATTTTCGAGTAAAACTTAAAAAACCAACTGAGAATGACGATATTAACTTTTTTCTCAAAATAATTGTTATGATGTATCAAGTAGATTCCAGATTCTGCTAAATTTTCAAACAAGTTTCTTATGCATTATATTGCAAAACTATAACCTCATTAGATAATATGAAATCCATTTTGATACATACCTGCAAAAATGTGGTCATTTCCCCACAACATACCTGTGTAAACATTATACGGTTTGGCGAAGACAATTTATGTATTCGAAAATAGGTCTCGTGGCATCTTAAACTCACTGAACCAAATACCATCTCAGTAAGTTTCTGAAAATTTATTGAGGAAGTTACCTGCTGCTTTAAAAAGAAAAGATTATAGTTTGCGATTAAAACCTTAGTTTGCTATACTTACATTGACATCTGATATTTCGTGAGATAAATAGTCTATTGCTGAAGAGTCAAATATTAATGTTCGTCCCTTAAATCCAAATTCTTTAAATAATAACACTCGTACATTATTTTCGTCCAGGTTACTGAAACAAATACTTTATAAAACTAACTAGCTTCACTTGTTTTATCCTCTATAACGGTAGAATACTTGGTGTAGTTAGAAGTGAAAGGATCGATTACATTTTTTGTCTTTATAGTTAAGTCAGTCTACGAAAACAAAAGCTTATAAGAGGCATTCATACATTCTTGTTTTTATTTTTAAATAAAAATTATTTAACCAATTACAAATATGTTTATTTTTATTCATAATGAACATTAACTTATTTTTCTACATAGTCACGACTCAAAACGAATTTTTCGTTACGTGGGAAGACTCCCTCTTCATTATGCATCTGTTTTAATTAGTCATTGTAAATGTAAAGTGTTTTCCATTAAAAAATGCTTAAGATTTTTAAACATGTAAAATAAATCGCTGAAACCGAATATGACCATAAAAATGATTTCAATTGCCCGTTTTCCCTGTAGCACCCCCTTACCCTACTACTTTAAATTTTCGTACAAAATTAAGATGTATGCGTATTTCCCTGTTTTTGGGGACGCTGAAACCGAAAATGAATTCAAAAAATGAATTTAACCCCTCTCTTATCCGCTAGCACCCCTTACCACTCCCTGAAGGGGGTTGAATTTTAAACTTTTGTACAAAATTAAGATGTATGTTTATTTTTTTTTGGGACGCTAAAACCGAATTATGATTTCTGTCCTAATCATAACCGTGTTTATTTTGCCTTTTGATATTTTGAACTTCACACCTTATTTTAGACAAGATATTTTAAGAGAGTTCGGTAACATAGAAAGGGGTAAATGCCGAATCGTGAGAGGCAAGGGGACTCTCGTCAATCTAGCACCCCGAATCGTGAGAGACAAGGGGACTCACTTTAATCAAGCACCCCGAACCGTGAGAGGCAAGGGGACTCACGTTAATCACGCACCCCGAATCGTGAGAGACAAGGGGACTCACTTTAATCAAGCACCCCGAACCGTGAGAGTCAAGGGAATAGAAACCTACCACGTCCACGCCGTTGTTCCTGGGTTGCGCTAAGAGTAGAACCAAATCATAAATACATCCAAGTGCTGATATTTCTGATCGGTGAAGTATTGATGTTTACAACATAGGAACTGGAGGTACTCTTAAACTTGTCTAATTAACGGGCAATTGACTTTGGATCGTTGGAATTTTGAGCGTTGAACCCATGAAAACTTTGGTTCTCCTCTTTTTTTCCGAAAACGTTAGCGCAATTTACCGAGAGCCAACTTCCATATGAATCCTGCTGGTTCTTTTAAATGATTGTAAGGGAGTGTAAGGGGGTAATCGAGTGAGTGGATATCATTTTTTGTAGTTATTTTCGGTTTCAGCGTCCTAAAAAATATAGAAATATGCATAAATATTAATTTTGTACGAAAATTTAAAATTTAATAACTTCAGGGGGTGGTAAGGGGGTGCTAACGGGAAAACGGGCAATTAAAATCATTTTTTTATGGTCATATTCGATTTCAGCGACCCCAAAAACCTAAGAATAGTGGGGTCTACCCTCTGGTTCATGATTTTTTTTGTATGCCTGTGTAATTATTAAGTGCTAAATCCATACTGTATACCAGATGGTCCATACCTGAAACATTTCTTGAGCCTTCATCGCAACATGCGGGAATGGTATTGGTACTACAAAACCACAGACAGCGGTTCTCGATGTTTAAAATGGCACGTAGAAGCGTTTATAACTATCTACAATAATTATTATTGTTTTCACCTGCAGTGCCATTCTGTAAAAATGTCTTAAAACTGGGATATAAACTTAACCCGTCTGTTTTAGACTTTTATATTATAGACTATTCAATCTTATTCTAACAATAATTGATCAAAATCATCTGTAATTTTATCATGGTTTTGACAGGAGCATGGAAATGGTTATTTCTAATAAATGTATTTAATTTGGTTCAAAACATTATATTGTATTATTATTTGTTTAAAACATTAACTGAGAATCTTTAGTCTCTCTAATCGTCTTAGATTTTAGTTTAAAGAATATCTACATTTTTAGACTTATCACCAGCTGTGACTCCTTACAGAATACGAATTTTTCCAATTCATATGCAGTTAACAGCAGGGTAAACTTATGTCTAATTTCTAAAAATTTAGCCGCCAAGAGTTGCAGGATACTCAAGTTCACCCAAAGGATGGACATCTTTCTTATTCCGGATTTCACTTACAGCGGAGTAATTTCCAACATGGCGAGAGTCTATAAAATGCGACTAGGTGTTACACATTGTGGCAATCATTCTGCACTCTGCAATAAGATAAAAGAGATTCATGCTTTGGCTGCTGGAGACCCTACTGTTTTAACTAAGAATGAAAAGGTTAGTCTGTCATTGGAAACATAAAAGGCTGCAAAATGGATATTATTAGATATACCTATTTCTAAAAACGTTAAGTGAAAAAAAATTTGATCGGAGTCAATTTAATGGGTGAAGGAAATAATATTGACCTTGTTTCTCTCCACTGAATTCAATGAACTTGCTACAAGCTCTAGATGTTGGGTTTTTTGTTCCTTTCAAGAAAGGAGACGTATTTTAACGTAATGGAAACAAAAAAAATAAAGTTGTGTTTCCAAAGTTGGAATTCCTGCGAATGTTAAAAAAACTTTTTGACTACTTACCTAGGCGTAAATGTTGCAATAACATCACATTATTTGAATGATTTGAATCGATCAACACAAATCCCATCTTAATCTGTCACAGATAATGTTTAATATGATTTGAATGAAGATGACTAGCTAAAGGCTTAATAATAATGGACGGATTCAGTTATGTAAGCGCTAAGCTAAGCTATAAAATTATAGGTATGTAACGCTAGGACAATTGGCTAACATAGCAATTGCCATTTTTTCTAGTCAATACTCTAAATGAATAAAAATTTGTCTAGAAAAAATTGCAACTGCTAAATTAGCCGTTTGTGCATGTCTACGTTTAATTTCAATGCATTAAAAAAAGAAAGAAACACTATATTACGATATCTGCTTAAATTAATTAAATTAAAATCGTGTGTCAGAAATAGAGAAAAATGGATTCTTTAGATTTTTAAGCAAATTAATTACTTGAAATTTCGCTATGTTGTAGAGGACATTTTAAAGGGATAAAAAGCATCCCTAAAGTTTATCCCTAAAACAGTTTTTTCAAGAAATCTCTGTTCCTGTACAATTTTTTTTAAACCAATTCAAGTTTGTTTATTATTATCGGTCGCTGATATTATGTACAGGGTGATTCACTATATAATGACCGCTCCATTAACTTTTTTGTTTTAAGAGTTATAAAAAATGTGAAATACAAAAGTTGCACGATTTTTTATGAAGTTTTCGAAAATGATGGTAGATAAACAAATGAAGTCCAAACAAAATGGCCGCGGATGCTAACTTTGTTAATTTAAATGGACCCCTGTATATTTTTACATATTTAGATAGAACGTTCCCTGTCGAGCATAGTCATATAGAGTTTGTGAGGTCCATCGCTAACAATAAGCGAGATAATATTAAAAAACGAAAAGAAGGTTTTTTTTAGAGTAGTTTACCCTCCTGAAATGTGCTTTTGTGAAAAACGCTGAATCAAGTTAACTTTAGAATTTGATTTCCTTTAGAATAAAGTTATTTTTGTAAATATTTGCAATTTTTGCAAAGAAAAAGAATAATTTTTACCCTTATTAAAGATAAGGGATGCAACTCATGGAGTTCGAAATACTGTACATAATATTGGCGACCGATAATAAACATTGATTTAAAAAAAAATTGGTACAGGATCAGATTTCTTTAGAAAACTGTTTTTGATGGTAAACTTTAGGGGTGCTTTTACTCCTTTAAAACGTTTTTCGGCAGAAAAGAAAATATACGTGTCGCATATTTTTTTGTCCTCTACACGAGCGAAGTTGCATTGAAATCGGTACACTTTGGGTGCCTTCCTTGTGAGAAGTACTTACTATGCAACCAACTCTGCGTATGAGTGATAATTAAGGAATATCTGCTAGATGTACGTACAGGTACAGTTAGCCTTTGTATATGTTTTATATAATAATTTTACCTATATTTTACTCCTTTCATGTCTTTTCAATAGAACCTTTCAAAACTTTCTGGAAATACTAAACCAAACAAAAATGTTTTCATCCATTTTCACGTTTCCAAATAGAATTTTTTAGAATCTTCGCAGATTTAATAAAAAATTTTTAATTAAAATTTTTGGTTACTTTATTGGTCTTCACGATTATGCAACTTCGGGTGTTTTTTTTTCTAATAATCAAAATCCCACTACGACGATTACAAAATATGTATATTAAACTTTAAATCGTCGGTATTATATATACTTTGTCCATTTTTAACTGATAAAATAAAAAAATTACATCTTTTGTTTTTTTCCAGAAAATAATTATTTATTATTTGTCCCAATTTAACCATTTTTAACTCTTTCCACATTCAATTTGGAATATTCTGTATACGTAATACGGAACCTTCATAAATGGTTACAAACCACGTGAACGTTTGGAACAGTAATTTTATTTCCTTTATGTTAGCAATTAAATTTTGCTAAAATTAAAAATTACTAAAACAATAAGATCAAAATTACATTAAAATTAAAATACAACATTCTGTTTCATCGACTTTTTCACAAGACTTTATTCAACTAATCAGCTATCGTATTATCCCGAGCGTAGACGTAACGGATTGTCATTGTTCATTGTAAACGAAATCATATAATTAATATTGGTGACATCAAGATTAAGGGATTTTTATTTGACAGTACCAGTCGTGCAATGTTGGTTGCCTAAGCTCGGCGGCCACGTGGACTGCAATTATTTATGAAGGCTCTGCAAAATGATTTTATATTCCGTCTGTTCTATGTGGAAATCTTCACTTATACATATATTTTATATAAAACTGCATTAAAATTTTTTGTGTATCGAAATTTTTTAAATTAATTTGAATATCAATGGCATTTTTAAGCTTTTAATTTTATATTAATTTATGACGATAAACCTGGCAGTTATTTCCCTGTTTTACTCTTAAAGATTTAAAATATTTATTAATGTATTTGTTAAAGATTTATAAGGATTAAAAAGATAAAAAGCATTTAAATTATGCTAGGAATATTCTGACGTTATAACATCTATTTTGAAAACAGTCTTGTTGATTAATAATAAAAAGCAGCTCTCTAATTATTTGGTATACGTGACTATTTATCATATATTCGTACAAAAAAAAATGAGGGTGGTTGATAATCAGTACTCTTCAGTTTTTAACATTTAGCAGCATTTGAAAGGATAATACTATTAACAAAAAATATAGACCCCTACTCATTTTTAAAAAATATATAAACATAATAACGTTTATATTGACATGAGATGTTAATTATAAGTTATCTTACGTAGACAGCAATATGTATAGTAGAATTATTTGTATACATATTTTTTATACTATAATATTTTTTAAACGTTTCTACCAGTATTTCGAGTTTTACCCATAAACAGTAAATATATTTTGTTTTTATCTTACCTTATATTGAAATTAACTTTTCTTTCACTTTCATTCGTTTTCACACGATTACAAAGAAATGCCATTTTTCGCGTAAAATTGAGAAATCACCAAGTAAAAAAACAAATACAGAATCACGTGCACTCAAGTCACATGCAACAGTACATCACTTTTAGTTTGACTATATATAAGTTTCAATAAATTTTATTTTGGTACACAACTAGATAGGGGTGTGTTTACTAGGTAAATGATTTTTAAAAAATACATTTTGTGTACAAATTTCCTTTGATTTCATTTCAGTTAAGTAATATGTAAATGTAATTAAATTGTACAGGAATAGAACTATGGAACCTATGACAACACCGTACGCTGTGATTAAAATAGATTCGGATTTTCAACACGAAACTGTATACTAAAATAAAAATTGTTTTAGGAATTGACGTTAGAAGTTATTGAAGTAAGCGATACTTTAATCATTCATTTTCATAGAAATTTTACAGGTAAAAATTTATTTAGAACTGTGAAAAATTTGGATACATATTTCCCTATAATACATTTTCAGTTTAATCCGTTGACTCCTAAATAGTTCGAAAACCGGTAACCTAAAAGTCCTTGTCATTTTAAGTAGGTATTTTGACTTAATTTTAAAAAATCTCCCATTATTAAAGAACGTGTAATATTTTAATATTTTTTAACCCTCAGTTGATGACTTTTAAATAAAAATTTAAAAAATACATTTTGACAGCATTTATATTTTATGTAAGAGAGCATATTAATAATTTATACCTTCTAAGAATGAAATATGTTATCACACCTAAATCATTTGTTCTAATTCTTTAAACCGCTTCAATTGTCTGTTGTGATCCGTAGAATATAAATTATAATAGTTATACATATGTAGTCATCTACGATGTTCCAAAATTTCAGAGATTTTTACGAAGCCGACGCTCACCAATGGGTTTCGCAAACTATAAGGTTCGCAAATTTTATACTGATTCCGGATCTGTAAACAAATCGTGCTAACTGACCCCGCTTTTAAGATATTCTAAAAAAAAAATGGTGATTTTTGCTGTTTTAGGGAAGTAGGTAGTTCTTGTTTGGATAATTTCTAAATATTTACCCTTTTTATAGAAATGAGAAAATACCAACACTTTTTTTTTCTCTGCGGTATCCATAGAGTATTTTAAGTTTTTCAAATTTATTCACAAAACAGTTTTCTAGCGACGAATTACATATGTAGGAAATATTATATTGTTATATTAGGATTAAAAGTGTCAACTTTAGCTCCTAAAATTAGAAGTGAATACTTTTGTTACTAAGATACCATTTTTTTTCTCAGTAAGGAAAATGTTAACCTTAGAGACCTCTGAAAGTCAAAAACTTCATAGTTTTGTGACGGTTGAAGAGAAATTTGTTTTTTAATGTAGTAATTGAAGAAAAACTACTATACATACATATATCAACAAAACTACAGTACTGATTTCACCTGTTAAAATAAATAGAAAATTGAAATATTCATGACATAATCCTCTGCGCTAAAAGGATCAGTCGAAAAAAGTAAAGAAAAATTAAAATCACATCACTATACATCGCGCACTTCTATAATTGTGATTAACATCAATAAATAGATTTACTATTTTATATTTCAGCAAACAATTTGAGACCTTAATTTGTCTCAAATATATTTGAGGCTTAATTAGTATTATTATAACCGTTGTGAGGAATGTGAATATATTAAACAATAGATATTTGTTAATTATTCTTTTCTTATTATTCCTAAAATGATATTTTCTAAAACAAAATATTGTCAAATTAATACAGAAATAAAAAAATTTAAATAATCTATTAGATTAACTTGTAAGTATAGTCATTAGCTATTACTTTAAATACTTATTTTCAAAACTATTTCATTCTTCAGTACCAACTTTTTTACTCAGGCAAATTTGGTGTAGTCCAAACGTATCGAGCTCTTACAGTTACAGCCAATTTGTACTTATCTATGGTATCCAATACATATGCCCCAACAGCAATATAACCAATCACCTAAAATAATGAAATAAAAGAATTATACTAGTGTTATTTAATAAATGTATAAATAAATATAGTGAAGCACATAATAATGGATCTGTTATTGTCCAAGAATAAAACAAGGTGCAAGTAAAAGTTCGAGGGAATCAAGAAAACTATATTTCAAAATTATTTCAAAATAAATGAAGTGGAAATGTGGCAAACAAAAAGTTCTTTTAAATATAACAACCTATACAGTGTTTCCCCGGATGAAGTACTACACTACTAACGTTTTTATTGTCGATTTTTCGAGAAAAATTGATGAAAAGTTTTGCTTATCTTGGGAAGCCATGGACAGTAATTAAATATGTAATAAAACATATACATATACGGGACGTTCAAAAAAATTCAAAATGTGAAAAGCAAAGCCCCTTTAATTTTTGTTTTCTTTAAAAACTGTATTTAACAAAGTTGTTCGAGAACTTAAGAAATGTTTAAATACGGGGTTTAGTCAGAAAAGAAGAATAATAACATTTTCAAATAAGAAGACGCGATTTTTAATCTTATCTTAATTAAAGCAGACAGGAATTGTATAAAATAAATACACTTTTATTTTAAATTTAATATAATATAAAAATAGTTTAGTACAACAATTTCCGGGTTGGTTGTCACGTCATCGGTTTTGGGCAAGGACATTTAAATAAAGGGGACTTATTTATTTACATTTCTAGATGAAGCCTGGTCTATTCACAGTCTAATTGTATCATTGTTGTCAGCTGTATAATAATTATACTGGAAATGTACTTAATATTTTTATCGCAATTTTCATCACAATTGTGAAAATTATTATTATAGGGCAGTATTATTAAGTTATGCATACAATATTGTTAAATTCTGTACATATATTAAACTATTTTTCATTTTTCATATTTGCCATGTTTGAAGACTTGGCAACTACTCAATAATTTGTAGCGTGTTCCTCGTTCGTTCTGCCGTGGTTGGCAGAATATGGCGTCTCTTGTTAGAAAATAGTTGTGATTTTAGTAAGTGAAACGTGATTAGTGTTTATACATGTATTTTGGATAAACTTTTAAGGTGTGAATATGGTTAGACAGTGCAGAATTTGTAAGAAATTGGATTATAAACATCCACATCAGCTATCCTTCCACAGGTAAGCATGCTTGAAGGTGACTTTGGAATGTATATGCAACTGTGGCCATTGTCGTGCGTGTGGGTAACTTTTATTTGATTAACGGTAAAATTTTATAAATCTGACTTGGTATTTTTTTAAAATTTTTGCTGAAATAGTAAGAAAACAATAATATGAACCACGTTTGGCCATTAAAATCAAAGGAAAATGCTGCACCACAAATAATAAGTTACATACATTATTTATATTTAATATATTTATAGGTATTTCAATGTTATCTCTTATACCCAACATTACAAATTTTAATCATTCAAATATATTTACAATTTTACTAAATGCACGAGCATAAAAACTGAATAAATACAACAGCAAAAATATGGTGGTGGTTCACTTATACATAAAAATACCGAAGATGCAATCAACTGAAAGTTGCATTCATTCAACCATTTGATGTTTTCCTTTGGGAATATATTTTTGTCTCACTGAAAATTTGCCTCAGTATTCTAAAAGTGAAATGTGAACGTTTTTAGGGTGCTTGGGGATGGTGCAACAAGAAAGAAATGGTTACAGTTATTGGGATTCCAAGAAGTTATAAAAATTTTATATATATTTATTATAAAAATACTGAGTAACTGTTGAAATATATTGACTTAGGACTATAAAATATTTTATTTTGACCCATCCAAAATGTACGGCAATGGAGATGTAATCGCGCACATCAGTTGGATGAAAATAAAGCCCTCTGCTTTCCCCTTGTCTAGCTTCACCCAACATATGAGATAGACTGTGACATGCATAATCCCCTTTATTTAAATGTCCTTGGTTTTGGGTTTCTTGACGTTTCGAGAGACATATCGCTCTTTTCCTCAGAAGTAATTCTAAAAGTTTTCGAGTTTTTAAAAAGAGCGATATGTTTCTCGAAACGTCAAGAAACCAAAATCGACGACGTGGTAACTGGCCCGGAAATTGTTCTACCATTAACAACTGTCACGGTAGTCTGCAAACCAAATAAATGTTGCTTTTCTAATTAAAATAATAGAAAAAACAAATTAGAACTAGAACTTCGTTTATGGTGGCAACAGCTTCCTGAATTTAAGCTTAAGCAAATCAATGTTATCGTCAAAAACGTTTAAATACACTTTTTGCTTTAGGTATCCCCATAAGAAATAAAATAGTTGGGACAAATCGAGTGCAGGCCAAGGTATTGGTCCATAGCGTGCGATCCACTTGTTCGGTCAACGTCAAGCCAGTTTTACACTAGAAGTGAGAATTCTGAATTCTAAATTTTTGATACCTAGTTCTGCCAAAACAAAATTATAGAGAATTTCCAAATACGAATTTTGATTAAGATTTTCTTCCACAAAATAAGGACCAATTATTTTATGATACTTACATTATGCCACACCAGACATTTACTTTTTAAAATTTTTTAGTATTAGTTATCAATCGAAAATTTGGATTATTTTATTCCAGTATCTACAATTTTGAGAGGAAACCAAGTCATTAGTTGTGAATTTTGATTCGTCAGTAAATAAAATATTGTGATGTGATCTGTTTTCAATCAGTTTCTCGCCCATTGTTAAACAAACGTCTAAATGACGACCATTAGGCCCATCAAGCAATCTATAATTAAACAATTAAACACTGGTTTGAAGGGATATATTTTGTTGTATACTAATTTTTTTGAATATGAGATCTGCTAATATTTATGTTTTCTGACCTTTTCCTGAGGGGCATATTTGAATTGTCTTGTACAACGTCCATAACTACAACAGTATCAGTATCGTAAACATTGTATTCTTTGTTTATCTTTTTAATATTCCTTGTATCAACAGTGGTATCTAATTTTATAATTAGCTTGGGGACTGCTCTACGAGTCGCAGTTACATTTGGATACTTTTTATTAAAAATTTGTATTGCATATCAATTCCATAACAGTTCCCAAGACAAATTCGTTGCTCCAGGGTTAGCATTATTAATAAAAAATATTCGGTACGCAGTTAATACAAATAAATATGTTGATAGTATGTAAGTACGTAAGATAGTTAAAAATTGTCTTGTCTTTTAATTTGCAAAATGTTATTGTTATCCTTTTCTTACTAAACCCCTTATTTAAGCATTTCTTGAGTTCTAGAACAATTTTGGTAAATACAGTTTTTAACGACTCCCTGTTTCTTTTATTATATATTTGATTACTGCCCATGGCTTCCCAAAAGTTTTTATTAAGAATAGTCTTTTCTCGAAAAAATCAACAATAAAACAGTATACAAGAGTGCGGTACCCCATCCGGGGACAACTTGTATATTTTGCATATGCCGCACATTATTTTTTAATTTAAACTTAATGATACACATTCTAATTGACTACGCTGCTGGTTGCGCTTTGACATTCTAGTGCGATGTAGGCCCACCAACTTTTCAGAAAAATTTTAAGCTCTGACCAACAATAGCTACTGACACGATTTACTCAAGGAAGACGATATATTAGCAGAACTGTTTTTGCACTTTAAAGATGCAGGTGGATAGGTTTAAATTCAAATCAATTCAACTGATTAAACAGCCACACAAAAAAAGAAAAGTAGTCTGTACTTTTCATGCGACATTATGTTATCTGTAGTATTTTTGCCTCCTGATCACGAATCTGGTGTCAGAATTGAGCTATCACATCACAGGAATTTCCTAACCTTAAAAAACAGGTAAAAAATTGCAAAAATTCATGAAAAAGTGCTAGAAAAATATAAATTTTTTTTTTCTACATTCATATGTTCATTTATATAGTTAAGACCCGGCCCAACGTGAATCCGCGGTCAGCATTAATGGTTCTTTTTCTAACCTCAAAGAAACGGGTCAATTAAAGTCAGATATCACGAATTTTCAAACAGTAACAGATTCGCGCCAATTTGATACACGGGGGTTTTCTGGCTCGCTGATCACGGATCCGAGGTCAATTGGCCGACCAAATTTTCAAAAAATAACAGAATCGAAGCAAATTTGGTATACGGGAGTTTTCGGGGTCGCTGACTACGGATCCGAGGTCAATTTTGCAAAATTCAAGATGGCGGATCCAAAATGGCCTACCAAATTTTCAAATAATAACAGAATCGCAGCAAATTTGGTATACGGGGGTTTTCGGGGTCGCTGATTACGTATTCGAGGTCAGAATTGCGAAACTTATTTTGTAATATTTTACTTTATAACCTGAGCACCCAATCATGTGTTACTTTACTTTTTTCTGCTATATCTTGTTCTTTTTTCTGTAAAAGATCTATTCACGGGTTGAATTTTGTAAATCTGATCTCGGATTCGTGATCAGTGACCTCGAAAACCTCCGTATACCAAATTTGGCGTGAATGTGTTATTTTCTGAAAATTTGTTCGGCCGCCATTTTGAATTTTGCAAAATTGACCTCGAATTCGTGATCAGCGACCCCGAAAACCCTCTTATACCAAATTTGATGCGAATATGTTATTTTTTTAAAATTTGGTCGGCCATCTTGGATCCGCCATCTTGAATTTTGGAAAATTGACTTCAGATTCGTGATCAGCGACCCCGAAAACCTACGTATACCAAGTTTGACGCGAATTTGTTAATTTTTGAAAATTCGTGATATTAACCTTAATTGACCCGTTTTTTGAGGTTAAAAAAAGAACCATCAATTCTGACCGCTAATTCACGTTCGGCGGGTTCTTAACTGTATAAATGAACATTTGAATATAGAAAAAAAATTTCTAGTTTTCCTAGCACTTTTTCGTGAATTTTTGCTATTTTTGACCTGTTTCTTGAGGTTAGGAAATTCCTGTGATGTGATAGCTCAATTCTGACACCAGATTCGTGATCACGAGGCAAAAATACTACAGATAACATAATGTCGCATGAAAAGTACAGACTACTTTTCTTTTTTTGTGTGGCTGTTTAATCAGTTGAATTGATTTGAATTTAAACCTATCCACCTGCATCTTTAAAGTGCAGAAACAGTTCTGCTAATATATCGTCTTCCTTGAGTAAATTGTGTCAGTAGCTATTGTTGGTCAGAGCTTAAAATTTTTCTGAAAAGTTGGTGGCCCTACATCGCACTAGAATGTCAAAGCGCAGCCAGCAGCGTAGTCAAAGTACAGACTACTTTTCTTTTTTTGTGTGGCTGTGTTATTATCAACACTTAACATAGTCGCTTCAAAATTATTTATTTATATGTTTAAAAATTTAGTATTATATATTTAATTTAATATCTACTCATATCCGCTGATTAACTTCTTTAAAAAATAAGATCAATTCTTAAATGCAGAAATAGTTCAGTTAACCTATCAGTTTTTATCCAAAGCTATTAGAAAAATGGATACTTTATTTGAATGTCTACTTAACTGTCAGGTTTGTGTATTGTGATTCGTATTATTTTTTATTTTTAAGCTGGGTACTTTGAGTCTCAGTTAAGACTTGATTAACTAATCAGGCGACTGTGAATAGGTATACATTTATAAAATAAATTAGTAGTAGTCTAACCATGTGATTACTTAACCAAGGCTTAACCGAGACTCAAAGTACCGGACCACCCTAGATAATTATACAGGCACACTAAAATGTGGTCTGTTCTTTTGATTAGACCCTGTTATTGTAGTTTTCAGATCCGCTGAACATGAATCTGAAATCAGACAGCATCCACCATTTTCGATAAAATGTCCCATCTCCCAAAACCTTAAAACTGGATTATATAAAAACATGATGCTTTTAAAAATATGAATGAAAATCTAAAAACGAGTCATTAATTAGATATGTCAAACACATTGTATATATTGATACTACAAAAATAGGTACATTTACGTTTCAAATATAGTTAGTTTTATGTACACTATATGTACCTACATAATACATATATGTATAACATCGGTTTTACTTACCCCTGTTATTATAAATCCTTTTGTTAACTCTGACATAACAATGGATGCAGCTAATATATACATAATCGCCAAAATAAGACAGTTCACACATTCAATCCAAAACCATGGAAGGTCCGACTTCTTTAGTTTCCCTGTCAAATGTAGCAGCAGTAATATTCCTGTAAACAATAGCGCGTACGTTGCTACGGTTAGTAGGAAGTACGTTTTCTGATTATGTCCATAATACGAGCCCATCAAAATAGCTATAGTATTTATTATCTAAAAAAATTTATTTTTAATTAATATAGGGTAAATCTAGGAGAGATGACGCATCAGGTGAGATGACGCACTGCTCGTTCTGGCATAATCATTCTTCATAGCGTATATTTGGCAACACCGGTAATTCTTATTATGTCGTCACATATAACGTATCAAATACAGTTATATTTGAGTAGTGTTAGTGACAGTATTTTGTTAAATTTATTGAGGTTACACTAAATATTTTTACATCGTTTAGAGTCAGAAAATATACAGGTACGTTAAGTTACATTTTTATTAAGTTTTCAAGAATTCTGTTGTAGATAATGAGTAGTTAAGTAGTTCTAACCTCAATTTCACACATTTCCTATAATAAATTTAGTTAAAAGTTGCTGCGTCAACTCACCTTATACTGTAAGGTGAGTTGACGCACGTATGCGTAAGGAGAGTTGGCGCAATAATAGACACATCGTNTACAAATAGATCGTAACGATACTGCGTTCTATATACCTCAAGACAGACCGCGTAGTTGATTACGGGTTTTTTTACATTTGCTAAACTTTTGCATAAATAAATAGACATGGACTCATCTTCAGATAACGAAGTTCTGCTTTTGGTTGCAGTTGATGACGATGAAGAAGCACATCGTCGAAGAAAATCCAGACGCAGGTAAGTTTACTATGATATGACTAAATTTAAAAACAGTGATAATGATTAGGAATTGTCTCGAAACATTTTTTTTATTAGGATCACAACTTTATTTTTTTTTAGAAGATTGTGGATTCATAGCATAAATGCCTCAAGAGAAGATAAAGGCGAATTTTATACATTAATTCCTTAGCTAATTAGAGACGAACAGCGAATTTACATTTTTTATTTTCGAATGACAACGCAATGTTTTGATGAAATTTTGAATTTTAAAATAAGGCAATTTGTTACCTACACACGCATGCGTAATCGGATGAGGAGTACACGATCGTTAATATCGCAAACTCATCTATTTGAAAGGTTCTAGGCGATACTGCAATATCGCTACTGTTTGGGAGCCTTTATTTCCTGACTAGCCGCATTTCCGATGATGCCTCCAGACCAAAATCAGCACCAAATAGTGACACGCTGTAGATGAACTTGTATCTTAACAATTACTCGTGGATTTTCTGAACTCCAAATGCGTCAGCAAGAAGCAAATGTGCCTAATCGCTGAAGACGATTTTGTTAAAGAAAATCAGCATCCACTTGTTCCATAATCCGTTCAACGAACTGTCTTCGCTCTATGTGGTCAATAAGCCTCAGTTCTTGAGTTAGTTGAATTTTGTGAGCATGAAGACGCAAATATTTCGTGAGAATACGCAGTGAGAGCTTCTCGAAATATCCAATTGTTGACCACGGTGACCAATTGCTGTTCCTGCACTCTCAGCAACACTCTCACGAAATTCTTCGATGTTTTGTGTTGAGCGACTTGTTAAAGGACGACTAGATCACTACTTAATCTAAATATCTTCACAGTTGATGATTATTATGTCATTGGCGTAGAAGTTGGGGTAAAGAAATTTCGCTTTACTACTCATTCCTACGCCACTGACCTACCAAAATTAGTAAATTTTACAATAAATTATACATATGTGTAAATGTTAACTCCACACCAAATTTGAATCAATTTGTTATAAGCATATCAGAGATTTCGTAAATAATATGAATTTAACAATCACAATAATAATAATAATAATAATAATATTTATTTCTGAGGACAGTTAACAACCATATAGAAAATGTCCTAACAAAATATACAAGTAGATAAATAGTAAGCACCTATAATAGTGGTACTCAGTCAAGTTCAGTCAATAAACTGATGTAACTAGTATATAACCAAAATACAAATATGCACATAAATTCACTAAATAACAATTAATTGATAAAAAACTCGTTTACACTATAAAAACATTGATTTATTAAATATTCCTTTAATCTACTTTTAAAGGATTTAACTGTTAAAACATTTTGAATATGTTCCGGAAGACGATTATAAACCTTCAAGCCATAAACTGAAGGGGACTTATACGCAGCCAATACTCTACAACGAGGTAAATAGAATTTGTCCTTATTTCTTGTGTTTATGTTATGTATATGATTGTGCCTTAAAAAGCTGTCCCTATTATTAAAAATGTATACACTCACTTCAAATAAAAACAAAGATGGAAAAGTCAAAATTTTAAGTTGTTTAAATAGATTCTTACAACTAACAGTGTTTGATACACCTTTTATTCCTCGTAATATGCGCTTTTGCGCAATAAAAACATTGTGGGTGTTACTGGACAGACCCAGAAGATTAACCCATATCTTAGGCAGCTCTCAACATGAGCATAGTATAGCATAAATAGCTGTGTCTTCGCCAAAACCACTCGGAGATTTCTAATCATATAATTAAGTGAATTTAATCTTGAAACAACCCAGTCGCAGTGTGATTTCTAAGAAACATGTTCATCTATACGTAAACCCAAGAAATTGATAGCACCTTTAGGTAGTGATAAAGCATGATTATTTATATGTATATTCAAATTAGAACAACTTTTTTGTGGACTGTGGAATCTCAAATAAAAAGTTTTTTCAATATTAAGAAACAATGAGTTTTGATTAAACCAAACTATCAACTTCTTGAGTACTTCGTTACATGTATTTTCGAGTATTGCATCGGATTTGTGAGATACAATTAAAGATGTATCATCGGCATATAATGTAAAATGAACCTCTAGTGAAATTTGCTCCACAGCATTTATATAAACTAAAAAAATAATAGGTCCCAAAATAGATCCTTGTGGTACACCCATATTTACTTGAGCAATGGCAGAATTTGAAATAATTTTTTCATTCCCAATGATGCTTGAAATCGTTGTAAAAACTCTCCTATTTGTCAAAAATGTTTCTACCCATTTGAGAGCCTTTCCCTGAATTCCACATCTTTGCAATTTGTATAAAAGTTTTTTATGATTGACACAGTCGAACGCCCTGCTGAGATCACAAAATATCCCAACAGGGCACTCGCCTGCATCAATCATGTTCGTTATTGCAGAATAAAATGAATTAGTGGCAGAGGTTGTTGACTTTCCCTGTATAAATCCACGCTGAGCATTAGAAATGACCTTATAATTGTCCAAAAAACAAGGTTAATCTATTTAAAAAACCATATTCAAAAATTTTTGAAAATACACTAGGTATGGTTACTGGTCTATAATTTTGAATCATCATAGGATCTTTTTTTATGTAAAGGTATCACTTTATCAGTTTTTAGGTAAGTTGGGAAAGTGCCATTACAAAAAGATAAATTTAATAGATATGTAAACTGAGGTATGATATATGGCAATATTTGTTTAATGAGAAATACTGGAACATCGTCAAATCCACTAGAATGCTTATTTTTCAATTTAACATTTAACAGTTCATATAGTTCATCTTCTCCATATGGATAAAGATGAAACTCTTTTATAAAATTATGTTCACAATTATTTTTTTCCGAAATCTGACCAACTACATCCTCTGCCGCTTGAATAAAGAAACTATTAAATAAGTTTGCTATTCTACTCGGCTCACTAACCACTCCATTGCCCTGCATTATCTCAATACATATTACCCAAATCGCTTTTACTACTATTTGTAAGTCGTGACACAATATTCCAAGAACATTTCATAGTATTAGACGTAGAAATCATATTTTGAAAATATGATTTTTTTTTATCTGATATTAATTTGTTATGCTTATTTTTAGCTATCTTATATGCCGGTTTGAACTCCGGAAAAGTAACGAGTAGTGCATGCAATTCCTTTAATTTTTTGCTTGATTGTCGAACATCCGTGTCAATCCACTTTTTATCTTTAATGTAAGATTTACGATATCGTCTCATCAAAGGAAAATGGAATTTAAAATTATTGTAAAAAAAAGAATAAGCCATATCAGTGTCATAAATGCTGTAGAGTTCACTCCAGTCTTGACACCTCAAACTATTTATAAAGTTCATTATTGCGACGTCGTCAAATACTCTTTTGTGGTAAGAAAAATGTTTTCCTGTTTTTCGTACTTCTAGATCCAACTCACACAATATTGATCTATGATCCGATACTATATTATCAAAGACACAAATAGTTCCGCCATTACGAAAATTTGTCAACACATAATCAATTGTGGATACATTTGATTTTGTTACACGAGTTGGCCATTTGACTAAACTGAACAAATTATAAGCTAGAAATATATTATTAAGTTTACAAAAATCATTGTTTTCCTCTCTACTACAATTAATATTAAAATCACCACATATAATGATTTTTATATTCGACTTATAAATATAATTTAAAACATCTTCAAACCTATTTAAAAATATATCCAAAATACCGGACGGAGATCGATAACAACACAATATTATACATTTTGTTAAATTATTTAGATCTACAGACACACCACATATTTCAAAGACCTTATCTATACAAAATTTATCCAAATCTATGCGCTTTGAATTGATTTCTTTTTTAATCCAGATCCCTACACCCCGAGATTTAAATAATATACGGGCTATAACTGGCCCTAAGTGTAAAACAATCAAAATGCATGCCCTTCAAGTACTTATGATTGGCCCAGGTTTCCGTTAAGCAAATGAATCTGATTTTGCTGTAACATTCAAGCTCCAATACTAAATTATTAATTTGATCAGAATTCAAACTTTGTATATTTAGCGTTAAAAGATCCGGACAGAATATCACGTTTCCATGGTTATCTTCTTCCTGGGAAAGAAAAAACGTCGAATATAAGCGTCCTGTGGCCATATGGATGCATCCATAGCTTTCTTGAAATTCCTCTCAAATATTGTTATCTTAAATGAAGAATAAAGTTCTGGGCACCTTGGAGATATTGCTTCACATATAACTTCTGGAAAATGAAATTTCAGAAACGATGTCATAGCATCAGCATTCATTTTTGGATCTATTCTATACACGTGCAATGCAACTGTCTTCGGAACACCTCTCACTGACAT